GCAGGCCAGCTGCCCGGGGCCAGCCCCGCGGGACAGGGGCCCCCACAGGCCCACCTGCTGGGGCAGCAGAGTCAACGAGGAGGGCTCCGCTCGCCACCCCGCAGGCCCACGCAGCATCTTGCTGGCCTAGATGGACCCCAAGGCGGGCCGGCCAGGCCTGCCCAAGAGGCACCAGCGCGTGAAAAGGGACCCGTCGCTTTGAAACATAACCTCTCCCACGGGCGAGGGAGGCAGCGGCACACACGGAGCAGAAGCGAGCCACTGCCTTCAGCATCCCACGACAGTGACGGGGTTGGGGGGGAGTGGGGGGTGGGGGGCCTTCACCGCCTGACTTCCTCTCACACCAGGAGCTAGACAGGCAGTGACTGCTTCTGAAGAGTTCTCCCTCCACAAACAGCGCTGGACTTGGGGTCACCATGTACCTGCAAGATGCAGACTGTTTTGTTACCAAAAAAATAAAAGTGAGGGCCTCCCTGGAGGCGCAGGGGTTGAAGACACAGTGCTATCAAGCTACCGGCGGCCACCATGGCATGAGTTCAATCCCCAGCCAGGGAGCTGACCCCACATGGCGCAGCAGTCCTCTCCTGTCTCCCCGCCGCTCCCCTCAGCAGTGTACTTCGTCAGTCTGCATGTTCTGTTCCCTGCTCTGGCTCTGGTGAATCCTCTCACCCTCCCGCGCTTCTGACTGTACCCAGCGCTTATATAAATAAATCTTTAAATAAATGAATAAAGACATAAATAAAGACATAAATAAAATTGGTGAGACACACAGGCATGTGATAAGCCCGTCACAAGAAGCCGGGGCATGAGAACCAAGAGAAAGCATGAAAAAGCCGAACAGAAGCCACAGAGACTCAGGTGTGGAAGCTGAGGTGGAGCCCATGGCCAAGAAACACCAGGGGCGGCCGGCGAGTGGGCCTGGGCAGCAGGGGCCGCAGGCGCAAAGGAACAGATGGTCAGAAAGGGCTTCCCATCCGCCAGGGGGGTTTCCACTGAGGGGAATTTCTTCAGGCAAAGAGGAAGTGCCTGAAGAGAAGAACCTGACCCCCAAGAGCAACCTGGCCCGTCCCCGGGCTGTGCCGCTGGAAGAGGCGCGGCGGGCGCCCCCAGAGCGCGCCTCACTCAGAACAGACCACTGGAGAGCTGGAGGACGCGGAGCAGCCAGTCGCCTCCCCCCTCCCAGGAGGGACCAGGAATAAAGCCAGGTGCCAGGTGGGCACGGGGCGGAGAGTGCAGCGGGGCAGACCCCCCCCAAGGCGAGCACCTCCTTCCCGGCAGGCGGCCGTGGTCGCGCTCACGCTCACGCACACGCACACAGCACGGCCGATGCTTCCCGATCAAGGGCTCCAGCTCCGCCGCTGTCCCCATCCCCCCCACGGAGGGGGAGCCAGGGCAGCTCCGACCCCTTCTCCCACCAGGCACGGGGGACAAAGAGCAGAGACACGGTGGGTGAAGCTCCCGGCAGGCACCTCGCGCTGCTGTCACGGGGCTCTGCAGCTCCCGCTGCCGCGAGTTTATTCCACAGAGCAAGCAGCCGGAGTGGGTTCGGCAGGGGACGCGCCACACAAGCCAAGCCTTCCGCGGGACGAATGGCGAGCGCAGCGCCGGCGGGATGCTCCCGCTGCAGCCTATGCACAGCCTCGGCCCCAGGCAGGCAGGCGCGCCACCCGCTGCGGCTCCACAGACCCCCCCTAGAGCACGCCCTCAAATACGGGGGCGCATCACTCCCCGCGGCAGCAGGCCGACCTGGGACACACAGGCTGCCGCGCGCACTCAGTGGACGCGGGCCCTGGGGCAGCAGAGCTGCGTGCCCACCTCCACCCAGGCCCGGCCCCGCCCCGGGTGGGCCCCGCTCCGTCTGTTCTGCGAGCCGCGCCCGTCCCCCGCCCGTCCCCGGCTGCAGTCAGACCTGCTGACCTTTAATATTTAACACGCGCAGCTCGGCGCGGACAGGTCCAGCTTCCGCAGGCCCGCGTGGAGCCCTCGCAGCTGAACAGCAGCCTGGATCGCTCGCCCGGACAGGGAGCCAGTAGGCCAGAAACGCCAAGCGGGGTCTCCGCACAGTCACAACTTTGAATTTCTTGGAGTAAAAATTTGAGTTTAAACGCCATGGAACTGTCCTAGACTAAGGCGATGGAAACAGACTTTGTGATGTGACGCTTTTTAAAGACAGAGTCAAGCACTGAAAACAGCCCCCCAAGAACCATCATGAACCCCAACAGCCAGAAGCCCCCATTACTCTGGAGAAAATGCACTCTGCCCGCCGACCCAGCTGGCACCGGGCTCACGCCAGCTCTTGCCACACACGCGCTCCGCAGGGGCCCGGAGCCACGCTGAGGGGAACAGGCCGCGGCAGTTTCAGGCCGGGAGACCCTCCCCGTCCCAGGCCGCAGCTCCACGCCGGCACTTCCTCCTGCGGACCTGCCCTTTGAACCCGCCTGCTGAACAACTGCGCTATGAGCCCCGCTCCCTGCACCCAGCTGTCATCAGCGAGGAGCAGGCACACACCCGGGCAGAGCCGGGCACCTGCCAAGGGCCATCTCCACACCGAGATGCCCCAGCCCGGCCCGGCCCGGCCACCAGCGCAAAGCAGCGCCTGCAGCCCCGAAGTCCACCCACAGAAGGCACTCCGCGGGGAGGGGCCAGCGGCGGGCCTGCGGCTAAGGCCTGGCAAGGGGCTGGCCGGCTCTCCCCGCAGCTCGCCACACGCTCGCCCGACATGCACCCAAGCCCCGCATCGGGGGGCTCATGAGGTGGCGACACAGAAGGGAAAGGGGAAGCCATACGGGACTGCTTTTCCTCCTCCCCGACGCCAGGCTGAGGGCAGCCCAGAGGCCTCTTCCAAAGGTGGCTGCTCTGCCCCTTGCAAGACAACGCATGCCAAGGGCAGGACGAAGCCAGATTTCCACCCCGGCCGCACCAACACCTCATCTCGCCAACCTGGACTCAGCTGGGGAGCTGCTGCCGGGCGGCGGGGGCAGGAGCAAGCCTGCTGCCCAAGGCTGCGTGCGGAGCATCTACCCAGGAAGGGGTGCGCGAATCAGAACCTTCTTCCCATGTTCTCTGCCCCCCTCCCCGCGCTCCTGGGGCAGAGCTTCCCTGAAGCAGGCAGAGCCACACCTGGCTCACAGGTAGCCCACTGCAGACCTCACCTTGAAACAAATCTCGGCACGATTCTTTTGCCCAAAGGGAGGGCTCCCAGCCTCACCCATTCAGAAACCCTCAAACAAGGACAGACCGAGGCCTCTGTCCAAACAGCTGCTTTCTAACCATGTGAGTCCGAAACCGGCTCCCAGGGTCACAGAGTTCAGCCATCTGCCCACAGAAACGAATGTGCTGTCCTGCCCCAAGGAGGACACAGGCCTGCAGGTGCAGCCCCCAGAAGACACCCTGGTCGGCAGCATGGGCTGAGCTGCCCGGTCCACCCTCTCGAGGGGCCTGCCTCGCTGGAGGGACACAGATGGAGGCCCTGCTGCCTTCACCCCATGTGCTTCACCCCGAGCTGCGCTTCACTTGCCAGGCCAGCACTCAGCCTCTCTGCACGGCTCAAGTGGAGACCAAGCCACTCGCGACACATGTGGTGGACAGAAACCACGCCACACAGCACGGGCGGCTCGACAGCACCGCCCGGGATAGAGCTCCGTGCGCGGCACCTCCGCAGCGGGCGCCGTTCCGACTGCGCGACTCAGGCTGCCCACCGCCTGCCGAACTCGTAGAGAGACGGGAGCCGCGCGCCCAGGCCAGGAGCCCCTGCGGCGCCAGCCTGACATCCACGTGCACACCCACTCAGCCTGCCAGGCTCTCCCTCGCCAGGGCGTCCAACACTGGGGCACCCGCCATACTGAGGGGAGCCCGGCACGCTCTCCTACGGGACGCAGGGGGCGCTGGCTAGGACGACCCCAGAGCCCCCCTCACTCATTCCAGCACCTGAGCATTAAAACATGCCTCAAGCGAAGAAGACTCTGGAACTCCAGCGTCCACCACATGGACATGGCCAGCCTGAGAAGACTCGCTCCCTCCCCTCCCTGCGGACCGCGCACCACCGTGGGAGGGTTCTCTTGACGAAGTCGCAGGATGAGGTGAGGCGGGTGTCCACTGGGCTGGCCAGCAGTCCCCGCCTGGCCGCTCGGCGGGGACAGGGCCTGCAGACCCCGGATGAACGAGCACCACGGCCCCGGCAGAGCTGTCAGCCCCTCCGCGCCGCGGCCTCCCGGGCCGGCCCAAGCTTCGGGCCGGTGCTGCTTCTCCTCCCTCCCATCACACTCACAGGCGCTCAGGACCCTCGCCGGAGCCTGCACACCTTCCCCCAGGGCGCAGCGCCGGAGAACCCGCGGGGACCTCACTCCCCGGTGCGCCGTCGCGGAAGGGCTGCGCCCGTGAAGCGAGCGGGCCGGCGCCTAGACGGCGGCCGGCGCCCCCGCGGCCACCTGCGCGCCCGCGGCCGCCTCCCGCCCGCCTCGCCGGACGCCGGGCCTGCCGCGGGGAGCCCCGCCGCCGCGGGGACGCTTCTCGCCGCAGAGAAAACAAAGACCCGCGAGCGACACTCCCGGCAGACGGGCGCCGGCGAGCGCGGGTCCGCCCGGCCTCCCCGGCCCGCGCCCCTCCTCCCGGCGCGCCCTCGCCCTCTCCGCGGGCCGGTTCCGGCGCGGCCGCCCCGGGCGCCCCGCCTCGCCGGCCCCTCGCGCGGGCCGCGGCCCCCACCTGCCGGGCCCGGGCCGGGCGCGCTCGGCGGCTCCCGCGCGGACCCCGTCGCGGGCCGGGCCCAGGGCGCGTCCTCCGCGCGGGCGGCTCGCCCCGGCCCCGGCCCCGGCCGCCCGCAAACTTTCCGGCGCGCCCCCCGCGCCGCCCGGGCCCGCGCCCGGGCCCCCCGCCGCCGGCCCCGGCCGCAGGTGAGGCGCCGCCCGGCCCTCGGGACCCCGGGCCGCCCCGCCTCGCCGGCCCCGGGGCCGCCGCGCGCTCGCGGGTAACGGGCCGGGCGCCGGGAGCCGCCGCGCACTCACCAGCTGGCTGGTGGTCCTGGCCATGGGCCTCGCGTCGGCGCGGCGCCTCCCCCGCGGCGCGGCGCCTCCTCAGCGTCCTCCTCCCCGCGGCGGAGCCCCAGCAATGGCCGCCCTCATCCTGCGCCCGCCCCGCGCCCGCCGGCCCCCGCCCCCGGCGCCGCCCCGCCCCCGCGCCACGCCGGGCGGGACTTCCGGCCGCCGCCGGCGCCGCGCGCGCCCATTGGCCGCGCCCGCCGTCGCTCCGCCGCGCCCGGGCCCGCCCCGCCGGGGCCCCGAGCCGCATTTCCGGGTTGGGGCCCGGGCGGGCGGGAGCGGCCCGGCCCCGCCGGGGAGGCGGCCCCGCGCGAGCCAATCCCGGGCCGCGGGGCGGGGCCTGCCGGGGGCGGGGGGCGAGCTGTCATCCCGGCTCCCGGGCGGGGAAACTGAGGCTCGCGGGGCCGGGCCGCCAAGGTCACGCCCAGGCCGCGGCGGGCCGGGCTCGAACCTGCGGCCCGCGCTGGGAGCCGCCCGCCGCGCCGCCGGGGAGACGCGACTTGCTTCGCTGCGGGCCCGCAGAGCGCTCGGCGCGGGGCCGCCGCGGGCGTGATGACGTGTCCGGCCCGGGCACCGTGACGCGGCGCCGTCCACGCCGCGCGCCCGGGGCGACGCGCACTCGCCGGCCGGGAGGCGCCCCTCGCCTCGGGAGCCGCGCGCCGGGGAGGGCCGGGTCGGCCCGCGGGGCGTCCTGCCACGGTCGTGGCCCAGGCGCGCGCCGCGACGACCCGCGCCGAGAGCACCGCGGCGGCCCCCGCCCTCAGGGGCGTGAACAGCCGCCACCGCGTTCCGGGCTGTTTTCTTTTTTGTTGTTAGGATTTGGTTTTATGCGAGAGCCGGGCGCAGGCCAGCGGCAGGGAGCGCGAGAGCACTCACCGCGGACAGCGGGGAGCAGAACGGGCAGCGAGGAAACACACTGCTGCGGGGAGCGGCGGGAGACGGGCGAGGTCCGCCGCGCCATGTGGGAGCCTCCCCGGCCGGCCGGGATCGAACCCGCGCTGCAGAGGCTGCGGGCAGCTTCACAGTGCGGCGCTCAGCCGCCTGCGCCACCAGGGGAGGCCTCCTGGACCTGCTCTTAACAAGGAATTCTTGGGGCCTCCGCAGTTGAGCTCGGCGCTGTGAAGCTGTCCGCAGCCTCTGCAGCGCGGGTTCGGTTCCTGGCTGGCCAGGGAGCTACCCACATGGCGGGGCAGACCTCTCCTGTCTCGCCCGCTGCTCCCCTCAGCAGTGTGTTTCAGTCCATCTGCCTGTTCTGCTCCCCACTCCGTCTCTGGTGAATCCTCTCACCCCCACGCCTCTGACCTGTACCCCAGCTCTTACATATATATATTTTTTAGAAAAGGAATTCTTATGCCTAATCTCATTTACTCTAAACATGCTATTTGCTACTGTTGCCCCCATGAGGAAACTGGGGCATAGTACAATTCCGCAACTGGTCACTTAGAGCCAGAACCAGGTTCAAGACACCCCCTCCCCACCAGAGGCTGTGCTCTGACACCGCAGCCTCTGGTGAGTTCTCCCGCCTCCAGTGCTCTGTACATTTCTGCACCATAAAAATTAGAGGGCAAATGAACCCCCAGAATGGCTGATATCTGCCCTCAATACACACTTTGTCATCTAACAACATACCATCCTGATGCATGGCTGCCATCTTCCTCAGTCTTAAGGGCTACAGAGGGCTCCCCTGAAGGAAAACTAGTTCATAGGCCCACACATTGAGTAAGATCACACCTAACAGACACTGAAATGGTTCCTGGACTTCAGCCTTGCGAACCAGACCCTGCGCTTAAATACCGGCACCACCTTTCTGATGTCCCAATAAATTCTTAGCCGATGGAAGTGATGAGTCAACATCCAGGCAACTGCCTCAAGACTTCTGATACGTGCTGCCAATTGCCAGTTGCCAAGCCCTTCCAGACACTCGCACCCTCTGTGGACACAAAGGCAAGCTCAAAGGTGGACACTGACTGTTGCCACCACACCAAGCTTGGAGACGTCGGGAACAATACCCAACATCCACACAAAGCGCAGCATGCCAGAGCCAGCTGGGTGGCCGGGCATAGTGGGCACAGCCACTGCAGCCCTGGGGTCACAGGCACAGGAGTCAAAGCCAGCACCGGCCAAGTCCGATGCCCTGTTCGAGGTACTGTACCCACATGCTTCCCAGCAATTCTGATTTTGCATTTATTTTAGCCCTCACAAAGTAGTAGTAACTGGTCCTGAGAGAATAGTAATTATTGTATAACTTATCTTACTTAACAGTCATCACACCCTGAGACATTCAGTGTTCTTGACCATCTTGTAGGAAAACAACAATCTGCCTGTGGGCCTCCCTGGGGGCCCAGGGGTTCGTCTCAGCACTATGAAGCTATCAACAGCCACTGCAGCCTGAGTGCGATCCCCAGCCAGGGAGCTACGTACAGGGCGCAGCAGACCTCTCCTGTCTCCCCGCTGCTCCCCTCGGCAGTGGATTTCAGTCAGTCTGCCTGTTCTGTTCCCCGCTCTGTCTCTGGTGAGTCCTCCCACCACTACCCCCGCACCCCTAGCCTGCACCCCTGTTCTCGTATGCATATTTTTTTTTTAAAAAGCCCAACTGCCCACTAGATGAGAGCATCAATGTACACATAACTACAGAGCTGAGAAACACCAATCTTACCAGCACCCTTTCAGAGAAAGTCACTGAAGGATGTGCTCCACCGAACGATGGGCTAAACCAAGAAAGACATGGGATGCAGGCAACTGGAAGGAACCGAACACACAGGCAGATGACAGGGTAAGTCCCCGGCCGAGCCTGTCAGCAAGCACAAGGTGTGTGTCCCTGCCATGCGGACAGACAGACACTGGCGCCCCACTGGGGAACAGCACATAAAACTCTCTGGTCTCAGAGGCAGGGGAAGGAGGGCAGCAGGCAGCATGATAAATAAGCAAATCTGACGGTATGTCAGCAGTCCCTTCATGCTGTGAGAAAGAAAAAAATTGTTAAGTGAGGACCCAGGGGCGCCCAGGAGAAGGTGCAATTTAAATGCATAAAAGAAAACCCCAGCAGATGATCAGGGAGCACCCAGAGCCAGCGGAGCAGGCTTCAGAGGGCACCGGAAAAATCCCACGAGAGCCATGTTCACCATCCTGGCAGGGACGAGCTGACCTGCCATACTGGTCACGATCTGCTGGGCAGGTAGGGGTGGGGAGCGGTGATGAGAGCAGAAGTCAACGGTGACGACAAATGATAAATCAGGCCTCCTGGGTGGTGGAAGGGTTAAGCACCGCACTATGAAGCAATCCGCAGCCACTGCAGCACAAGTTCGATCCCCGGCCAGAGAGCTACCCACATGACGCAGCAGACCTCTCCTGTCTCACCGGCTGCTCCCCTCAGCAGTGTGTTACAGTCAGTCTGCCTGTTCTACTCCCCACTCTATCTGGTGAATTCTCTCACCCCCTGCGTCTCTGGCCTGTGCCCCATCTCTTGTATGTATAATAAAAATCTTTTTAAAAATTAAAAAAAGATTGGGGCCTCCCCGGTGGTGCAGCGGTTGAGCGCTGGGTTGCGAAGCTGCCCGCAGCCTCTGTGGCGCCGGTTCGATCCCCGGCTGCTCCCCGGCCCCCGGAGGAGGGTCCCGCATGGCGCGCAGACCTCTCCTGCCGCCCGCTGCTCCCCTCAGCAGGGTCCTTCGGTCCTTCTGCCTGCTCTGCTCCCCGCTCTGGCTCTGGTGAATTCTCTCACCCTCCCGCGCTTCTGACTGTACCCAGTGCTTGTATAAATAAATAAATAAATAAATAAATAAATCTTAAAAAAAATAAATAAAAGATAAATCAAGACACAAAACATAAGGGTATTTTTTTCTTTTTAAAGATTTATTTATGCATACAAGAACTGGGGAACAAGCCAGAGGTGTGGGGAGGGATGAGAGGATTCACCAGACTGGGGAGCAGAACAAGCAGATCCACTGAAATCCACTGCTTAGGGGAGCAGTGGGGAGACTTGAGAGGTCTGTTGTGCCCTGGGCAGCTGCCCTGGTCGGCCAGGGATCAAACTCATGCTGCAATGGCTGCCGATAGCTTCACAGGTTGCGTCTTAACCCCTTGCGCCACCAGGGAGACCCAAGTTTTGTTTTGTTTTGTGGGACCCTCACCGGCAGCCGGGGAATGAACCAGCGTTGCAGAGGCTGTGGGCAGCCTCGCAGCCCAGTGCTCAACTGCTGCACCACTGGGGAGGCCCCCAAGTTATTTTTTTTAAACAGAGATTCTTTAGAAAGACATAAACAGCAGGGAGAATATTTTAGCCAGGAGAAAATGGGGTGCAGTTTATCATGACACGCCTTTGTAGAACTACTGAGCTCTTAAACCTCAATACAAGTGAAAATGAGTGACGATACCTTCTTCCTTAAACACCTTAGCAGCTCTGGCTCCTGCAGGTCAATGAGGCAAAGATGTGACAGCACAGCTTTAGCATGAAACCAACGAAAATAGAAACAACTGTAATATGGTAAAATGAGAATGGTAAAATGAAGTGTGCTCCGTTCAGCCGGGAGCTTCCTGTGCAGGTGCTGAAGAAAGCGGGCAGCCCGGAGAGAAAGGCGGTGGAGGCAGTTGCAGATTAAGTATCAAAAGATCCAAAGAATGTTTTCAAATAACTCAGGTAAGTTTAAGCAGGAAAACATGTATGGAATGTGAAAGCACCTGAGAAAAGTCTGGAAGGAGGGATGCGCGGGGTTCTCCCCTAGGGGGTGGACCGAGGGCTTTGACGTGTTTTTGGCTGTTACTCCACAGCATGGCCTTAGTAACTGAAAGAACCCAGGGCGGGGGCAGGCCGGAGGGGCGGGGTGGGGACAGAGGGCCCACCAGAGGGGCAGGGGAGGGAGGGCGCAGCAGGCAGCAGGGAGGGGCAGCTGAAAGGAGGCAGGACACTTCCAGGTCTCGGAGCCAGCCAACCCGCAGGGCCCAGGCCAGGCCCAGCCCCTCCTGGGAGAGGCAGCTACCCCCTCCACGGGCAGGAGGGCAGGTGGTCTCACCTGACCCAGCACAGCTCACTGGCACCCTGCGCGCAGCTCTCCTTTGCCCCTTCCTGGCCTGGAGGCTGGCCGCGAGGTACCTCAGGTGAGCCTGCAGCCGCCAGCTGGCATTGTGAGGTCACGTGCCCACACAGGTGCAGGAGGGCAGTGGGGCCGTCCTGGGAGGGGCTGGGGGATGGCGGCCCGGCTCCCGGCCTCTGCTCTTCATGTCTCCACCCGGTCCCAATAGCGCTTGTGGCATGGGGGCCCTGGGCTTAGGGGCTCTGAGGTGGCCTGATGTCACCCAGCTGGCGCTGTAGTTGCGGGGAGGGGGTAACAAATTACCCCCGCTTGGAGGCGTGAAACAAGTTTTCCATGTTCCGGTCGGTGGCGGACGCGGGGGCAGCCTAGCAGGCCCCGGCCTCCCGAGGGCGCGGTGGAGGCGCCGGGGCTGCCTGGCAGAGGCCTGGGTCCTCTCCACCAGCACGGCGAGTGTCTCGGGCCTTGACGGCCGGGTCACACCAGAGTGAGCGGTTCCGGAGCGTGCGCGCCCCATCGGAAGCCACAGCGGGGGCGCGCCTCCCGGGGCTCCCTGGGCCAGGGACCCGCAGGGTGTGAGCCCAGCAGGCGGGGTCACAGAGCCGCCACCACAGCTAGTCAAGGGCCCTCCGGAACGCGACAGGGACCAGGATAGACTGGGCAAGAGGAGCAGCCAGGCCTGCGGCCCAGAGGCCTTTCGAGCCAGGGAAGGCCTCATAGGCAAGAGGGGAGGCAGGGGAGCCAATTAGAGAGCCTCTAACCAGGGAGCGAAAGGGGCTCTCAAGAGACCGGGGGGGGGGGCACTTGCATTTGTGGCCGTGGCAGCATGAAGGACAGGTGTCGGCGAGCCACTGCTTCCCAGTGACCTGGGGAAATGTCCTCCCTTGCGGGGGTTATGCTCTGAGAGAGAGAAACCAACGGGGTGGGGGGGGCGGGAAACAGAAGGTCGCATGGAATCTCAGGCCAGTAACTTCTCTCCAAGGACCTCGATGTCCCCAGCTGGAAAATGGGCCAACTCCAAATACTGCCAGAACCCCAGACTGGGACATCAGAGCTGCCGAGCTGCAGGGAAAGGGGCGCCTCCCTGCACGACCCGGCACGGCACTCATTGCTGGGTCCCTCAGCGCAGACCCTGGGCAGGTCCTGTCCCTCTGAGGCGTGGGTGGCAGGCTGATGGTCCTCCAGAGGCGCCGTCCTCATCCACAACTTGTGGACGCTACCTTCTATAAAAGGGGGAGCTGAGATTGCAGAAAAGCTGGCTTTAAAATTAGGAAGAGGTGGGGCCTCCCTGGTGGTGCAGGGGTTAAGCACAGCACCGAAGCTGTCCGCAGCCTCTGCAGCACAAGTTCCAGCCAGCCAAGGAGCTAATGCACAGGGCCAGCAGGCCTCTCCGGTCTCCCCGCTGCTCCCCTCAGCAGTGGATGTCAGTCAATCAGCCTGTATTACTCCCCACTCTGTCTCCAGCGAGTCCTCTCAACCGCACACCTCTGACCTGCACCCCAGTTCTTGTATGCATAAACAAATCTTAAAAAAAATAAAACGGGGCCTCCCCGGTGGCGCAGCGGTTGAGCGCTGGGTTGCGAAGCTGCCCACAGCCTCTGCAGCGCCAGTTCGATCCCCGGCTGCTCCCCGGCCCCCGGAGGAGGGTCCCACATGGCGCCCAGACCTCTCCTGCCGCCCGCTGCTCCCCTCAGCAGTGTCCTTCGGTCCTTCTGCCTGCTCTGCTCCCTGCTCTGGCTCTGGTGAATTCTCTCACCCTCCCGCGCTTCTGACTGTACCAATATCAGTGCTTGTATCAATACATAAATAAATAAATAAAAATAAATTAAACTTAAAAAATAAATAAATAAAAAATAAAATGCAGAGAGGACCCAGGCAAGCCGGGGGTGGGGGGAGGCTCTGCAGGCCTGCAGAAGAGGGAGGCGCAGGAGTGGCAGTGATGCCGCCGGAAACCAGCACCAGCTTGGCAAATGGCACAGCAAGGAGGCCACAGCAGCTAGGAGGGCGAGACTGCACTCTCCCTGGGCCAGAGGAGGGCCAACCCCGTCGCCACCTCCCCTTCCTGGGCTGACGGTGGCTGATGCCTGATTTCCCCCAGAACTGTAAAATAACCACCGCGTGTTCTTTTAAACTGCAACGCTGGGGGCCTCCCTGATGGCCCAAGGTTTGAGTCTCAGCACTGTCACCACCATGGCCAGAGTTCCATCCCCGCCAGGGAGCTACCCACAGGGCGAGCAAGGCCTCTCCTGACTCCCCGCTGCTCCCCTCACAGTTTTAGTGGATCCGCCTGTTCTGCTCCCCACTCTGTCTTCGGGAAGTCCTCTTGCCCTCGGCACCCCTGGCCTGCACCCCAGCTCTTCAGCGCAAAAATAAATAAAACAAAGAACCACCCCTCTGGCGGCAGAAGACTCGTGCAGAGGCCCCTCTGGCTCTGCTGTGGCCACGCGGGGACAAGACCACAGGGCCCAAAGCTGCCAAGCAGCGCCCTCCACCTCTGGGATGCCCCGGAGGCCCTTCAGGGGCCGTGGCCCCAAGGGTGAAGGAGTGGGAAGACCCCAGGTGCTCCCTGGGGGGTCTGGCTAACTAGCTACAGATGCTGTCTTCAGGACGCTCGCCTTCAGGTGGCTCAGTCAGAAGCTCGGAGCGGCCGCCTGATGCCAGGAGTGCGGACCCAGCGGGCAAATGCAGCCCAGACGCGGAGGGAGCAAAGGCGGAGGATTCGTGTGAAAGGACCCACCCGGGGCTGATCATGAGCCAGGGGAAGGGGTTTGGTGGGGACCCCCCACCCCTCAACTCCCCAGCGCCAGCCAGGCAAGGTGGGGAGACAAGGGATGGGGCCGGTGGGGCCCGCAGGGGCGCGGTGGGACGGGGAGAGGAGGGCGCTGGGCCTCGGAACCCCGGACTTTCACCAGGTGGGAAGGCGCGTCGAGCCCCCACCCCCAAGTTCCCCAAGGCCCAGTAGGGCCCGATCCCCGTGGGGGCTGCCGCCTCGAGCCGCCTTCTCGGGCTGGACCCCTGGAGCGTGGCCGTGGATTACAGCGCTCCTGGGGCACGAGGTGCGCCCCCGATGCGGAGCCCGAGCCCGCGGCAGGTGGACAAGCGGCCCGGGCGCCCGGGGGCCCCAAGCGCACACCCGCCCCGCTGGTGACTCAGGTGCGGACCTGGCGCCACCGCCCCGCCCCGGGGGAAGCAGCCCCCACGTGCCCGCGGCCAGTTCCACCCAGCCCCCGTGAGGCTCCTTGCGAAGGGCAGGCACCTTCCGCCTGGGGACGCAGCCTCGGAGGCGGTAACAGAGCGGGAGGGGCCGAGGGGCCGGTGCCCGTTTCAGGGGTGCAGTCTGCATTTGGGGTGTTGGGGAAGTTCTGGGGGAGGGTGTGGTGGCTGCACGGCAGCGAGCGCTTAAGGACCCTGAACTGTGTGCTTGAAAATGGTGAAAATGGCCAACAACTGTCCCCAGATCTCAAAACCTGAAGCCCACAACTGCAGGGGCCGCCCTGCCCCTCCCTAGCCGGGCTGGCCTCGGCCCCACCCACACTAGGTGCCATCCTTGCCCACCTGAGTCCACCCAGAGTCCACCCAGAGCAGCAGGCAGGCACGGCTGGCTCAAGTCAAAGCCTGCCCTGGTGCTGACGGCCCTGTGAAACGGTGCCTCAGTTTCCCCCTCTGAGAAACAGGGATGGCAAGCAGATCGCTCCACTTGCAGAGAATTTAGGAGGCAGCCCGGTGTTTATTCATGCCACACATCCCCCAGCCGGGCACGGGGCTCACACAGGGCATCTCCCAGCCCCACCGGGCCCATGAGGGGCACACATCACGTACACCCTGAACCCAGTCCTGTGCTACCTGAGCCCCAACCCCCGTCCTTAATGTCCACCACCAATCTGCCACTTGAAACCCCAAAACGTCCCCTTTCCCTCTCCCCCTGACCTGCCAACTGTGCAGCCACCCCCAGCCCCTTCCGACTCCAGCCAGCACTGCCACGCTCGCCCTGGTCATCTCCAACCAACATCTCCTGTGGGTCCTCAAGCCCCAAGCGAAGCCTTCTGACCCAGGGCCCCTGTCACCTGCACGGGACCCACCAAGCGAGGGGGTGCTGCCCCTCCCACCCTGCAGCCACCAACACGCCCGAGAGGCACTCCAAGGTGATGCGAGAAGCAAGACGCAGAGACGAAGCGGCCCTGCAGGATGAGCGTTTATCCAGCTGGCCAGCACCAGGCAGCCGTCCCAGGGCCAGGCCCCTCACTCCCCAGAGACCAGCTCCTGGGTGGCCCAGCCCTGACAGTGTCCAGCTGGGGCTGGGCATCCTCTCCGGCCACGGCGTGGTCACTGCCGGGCCACCTCCGCCTGCCACACCAGCTCGCCCGAGATGTAGGTGGCTTGCACGTGGAGGGCGTCATCCAGCACCACGAAGTCTGCAGAGGCGAGGGTGAGCCGCGGCCCCTGCCCGCCCCCGCCCGCCCGTCCAGGCTGGGAGGACATGGCCTGGGTCGCCACGGACCCCGGAACCAAGACTCCTGGCGGCGGCAGGAGACAGGGACCGAGCTCCCTGAGGCCCCTCACCTGGCTGTCTCGGGTTCCCGACCCTCTAGTCTGATGCAAAGGGGCGCCCGCCCAACTCACGACTCCCACCGCTTTGGGCTGCCCCGGCCGCCCTGCATTGGGCCCTGACCTGCGTCGGCCCCGAAGTCCAGGGTCCCCTTGCGCTTCTCCAGCCCCAGCAGCTGGGCGGGGTGCAGGGACGCGGCCTCCAGGGCCGACTCCACACTGCAGCCTGCTCCGGGGACACAGTGGCTGACCACCCGCAAGCCCCAGCAAGCGAGTCCTGTGACTGGGGGGTGGGGGGGGGCACCAGGACTGCGCCAGATGGGCAGAGCTCCACCCCCTGCCAGCCCTGGGGCCGCCGCTCACCCTCCCAGGCCAGTAGGAACTCTCCTCGGTGACAAAAGCTCTTCCCCAGGCAGAGGACCCCGCGAGGCAGGAACTGGGCGTCCGAGCAGCCACCGAGACCCAGCGCTCTGCCCATGCCCCGCCCCATGAAGTGACCGAAGTCATTGTCTGTCCTTCAGGTCACCCCGTCCCTCTGCCTCTCCGGCCGCCTGGTCTCCCTCCTGCGGCCTGAGCAGCCCCGCGGCCCTGCCAAGAGCCCCACAGCCTCTGCGGACCCCCTCCCCTCACAGGGCAGCCACCCTCCCGAGGGCCCCCAACAGCCCGAACTCAGAGCTCTGGCCACAGCCGCACCAGCCAAGTCCTAGCACCCTCGGGGCCCTGTGCTCAGTGCAGCGAGCGCCCTCAACCTCTCAGGTGCTGGGGCTCCACCCCCCAGGCTCATCTGTGCCTCCCCTGCTGGGGGTGCCCTTGGCCACATCCCCAGGGCGTGTCCTGTTCCCTGGGGACGCCCAAATGCAGGACCCTGGTGGCCTCCACTCTACCCTCCAGCCTCCCCCAGATGCAGGCTCCAGCCCCCCAAACGGGCGCCCCCAGGCCCTCTCACCCGTGGCCTGCAGAAAGTGCCGGACGCAGACGTCCATCGGGGCGATGCTGCCGCTCAGCGTCTTGGTGCCTGGAGAGCAGGGGAGCAGGCTGAGGGGCCGGGCCGCAGGGGGTAGCGGCACCCAGGTCCACCAGACGGCTGCGCGGCTGTTCTCACGTGGCCAGTGCGTGGGAGCCGCTCACCTGCCACATAGGCCGTCAGCCCGTCCACCTCCACCTCCTGCTGCCCCAGCGTGTGCCGGCCGTTGCCCAAGCCCAGGGCGGGGACAGCGTCCGTGACCAGCACCAGCCCTGTGGGGGGAGGAGACTCAGGCCCTGCCGTGCCCGGCCCCGCCAGCCCCGCCCCCTGCCGCTGCTCACCCTGGGGGTGCGCCCGGTGGGCGATGCGCAGGGCGGCAGGGTTGGTGTGGATGCCGTCAGCGATCATCCCGTAGAAGATGTGCCGGCCCGGAGGCAGCTGGTCGCTGGTCAGGAGCCCCACGATGCCTGGGTCCCGGTGGTGGAACTGGGCAGGAGCAGGGGGCAGCTGAGCGACAGCAGGGCCCTGACACCCAGCCAGCGGCACTCAGGCAGCATGGACCCCCCAGCCCGGGGCGCTCATAGGCAGCGTGGACCCCCAAGCCCGGGGCGCTCAGGCAGCGTGGACCCCCCAGCCCGGGGCGCTCACAGGCAGCATGGCGTTGAAGAGGTGAGTGATGAAGGTGGCCCCGCTCTGCACGGCTTCCTCCGCTGCCCGCAGATCAGCCACCGAGTGTCCTGCACCGGGGACAGGACTCAGCCCCCGAAGCCCACCTAGGACCCCAGGCAGGTTGGCCGCGCAGGGCACCTCTCACCTAGGGACACACACACGCCGCGAGCCGTCAGCGCCTGGATCACCTCATGGCTGCGGCCCAGCTCGGGAGCCAGCGTGACGATGCGGACGTTGTCCAGTGGCCCGTACGTGGCCAGCACATCGTGGAAAGCATTTTCCTCAAAGGAGCGCAGATGGTCCTCGGGGTGTGCACCCCGTTTCTCGCGGCTGATGAACGGACCCTCCAGGTGCACCCCTGGGAGGAGGGGAGCGGATGGTGCCAGCAGGCCCCACCCGAAGGCTCTGTCCAGCCTTCTCACCAGCAACCCCCCAGTAGGGCATCTGGAGGGAGGGGCTGCCACCAGGTCCCCAAGGAGCCTCCCGGGGTGGGGGCAAGGAGAGGTTAGCCACTCACCGAGGACCCCAGCCCCATGGGGACCACCACTCTTCACGGGGATCTGAGGAAGGACCTGGGGGGAACCAGCTGTCAAAGCCCTGCCCCCCACGCCCCAGCACCCAGAGGTCACAGCCCCGCAAGGTCGGAGGCCAGAGCCCAGCCCAGTGCCTGCTGGCCCCTCCTCGGACATGAGGACAGGCTGCGTGCGGGGACGCAACGCACGACAGCGCTAATGAGCCAGCGGCCAGAGCAGAGGCGACGCGGTGAGGAGCCCCAGGCAGGCAGGCTGGCAGCCAGCGGGGTGACTCGGCCCACCCTGGCTCTCGAGATGGCTCCAGCCCAGGCAGCAGGGGACACAGCTGGGGACACAAGCCTGGAGAGCCTGTGGGGATGGAGCCCAGAGGCGGCGCGGGCCAGACGGAGCTGAGGGCAGACGTGGGGCGGAGCCACGAGTCAGGGCCCCATGCCGGGCTGGGCATCTCTGGGAAGGTGACGCGTTTGACGGGCACCACACCCCCGCAGGGGGGCCACGGAGGACCCAGCACCGGGCAGCCTGATGGCTGGCCATGTTCACCCCTAAGCTCCCCCAGAAGCAAAGACGCTTTCCCAGGCTGAGGAAGAGGGCGGGAGGGGACCACGCACGGGGGACGCTGAGCGACGGGCACTGCACCCCCGGGCTCGGCCTTGGCTGCCCCCGGCTCTGGCCCTGAGAAATGGGGGCACGGACAAGAGGAGCTGGATCCCCAAGTGTGCTGCCAGGCGCCCGGAGGGCAGTGGGGACACTGGGGAGGACGGCGCGAGCGCAGCTGTCTCGTGAGCAGCCTGAGAAAGGATTCGAAGGGGGCCCGGGGCGCCCCGGGAAGCTCCCTAGCCCACGGACGGCCTGAAGCCTCGGGAAGGAGACCTGGAGCGCTCGGCTGGCAGCACGGAAGCCAGGCGGGGCACCTGCAGCCTCGGCAACTCCCCGGGCCGGAGGCCTCGCAGCTGAGACCAGACTGGGTGCTGGGGGAGACCTGCCGCGGCGGGGAGACGCCGGCACCGCAATGGGACGCCCGAGAGAGGCACCGACAGGTGGAAACTCGGGAGCGGCTGGGAGGCCAGCCATGGAATCACCACAGGACAGAAAGCGGCAAGAGAGGAAGCCACCAAGGAAACTCTTCCAAAAAAGGCAAAACCAAAAGCAAAACCAAACTCCTGGCGGAGGCCCGGCCCCGGCAAGAACCCCGGGCCAGAGGGAAGACGCCACGAGGGAGGAAACAAAGGCCCGGGGGCCACACGGCGTCTGGCTTCTCGGCAACCCTGTAAGTCGAAAGACAAACACGGCAGAGCCTTCACGGCCGCGAGGACGGGGCCTGCGGGCCAGAAGCCGAGCCCGGCGGGGCGCTCGCTCGAGAGCAACAGTCCCGCCGTGGAAGCTACTGCGGGGCGGGCTCCACAGAAAGGAAGGGGCCAACCCCGGGGGAAGTCCGGGGCGCCGGGCGGGGAGAGCAAGCGCAAAGGACAGTGTCTCTCCGGGTGGGGGGCGGGGGGGCTTGGGGGACAGCTGGGCCCGGTGAGGCTGGTGGCCGGTGCCGGGAGAGCAGCCCCAAAGGTGCCGGCAGGGAGGCGAAGCCGACGTACACTGGCGCCTGGGGGCGCGAGGGAGAATGAGACCCTGGCACGGAGCCGGAGCTGGGTCTGCCGAGCGGGAAACTGAGCAAACAAGGAACCCCAGCGCCCGGAGGCCGGCGGGCAGGTGAGAGCGCGGGCAGGTGAGACGCCCGAGGCCGGCGATGACTCACCAAGCCACAGGCCATCTCTCGGGCGGACAGGGGCTGGGCGGCCCAAGAGGAAGCTCTGGGGCCCGAAAGGGAGTCAGTCCTTATCTCCCCTGCTGGAAGCCAGCGCCCGCATTTTTGAGCTCGGAGGACAAATTCCAGCAGAGTCAGCCACGCCTGAAAGTGGCTGTCCCTGGGTGGCGTGGGCGGGGCCGCCAGCTCTGCGGGGCGCCGCCGTGTGTACGTTCACCGGAGACCGAAACGGAGAAAGAGATGACGGCTGAGTGCCGTCAGGTGCTCGTGTGTGGAGTGAAGGGAATGAGGTGCACTCAAGCCGCCAAGCAAAGGCGAGACCAAATGGTGGGGGCAGGCCGGCTGCCCCCCAGGGGCCTGTTCCTGACTCAGCAGACAGTGGCCTGAAGCAGAGAGCAGGCCTGTGCCGTCCCCCCAGGGCAGAGGGCCGGAGAGTGTAAGCACAGAGACCGACAATGGATCCGCTGTGCCTGCGTGCAGGCCCTGGAGGGAGGGGGCCGAGCTCCTGAGACGGGCCTGGTTTCCCATCCAAAGGCTTCCACTGGCACCTCATCGGCTCATTCTCTGCCTCCTGAGGCTCTTTCCTGCGAGGCTATGTGGGAGGTCCAGGCCGGGGAGAAAACACAGACGTCCCACTGGCCAGAAGCTCCTCCTGAGGAGATACGGCAGGCCCGGAAGGTGCCTGCAGGGGCGGCCATGGAGAGGGCAGGGGCGTGCAGAGTGCTGCAACCCCGGATGGCTGTTGGGGAGCCCAGAGTGGGGCCAAATCAGGGCCAGGAGCCCCCAACAGCAGGAAAGTGAGCTGGGTTTTAACCCAACTCTGTGGTAGGACAACGGGGGACACTTTAAGAGCTGCACTGGCCTTCACTCAGGGCTCCGCAGGCTCGGGGGGTGTGCAGCAAGCATGGAGCCGAGGGCCGCAGGCCAAAGGGGTGGGTTCCATGCCTACACTCATTTTAGGACTAAGACCCCAAAGCTCAGGAGGGAGTGCGGGGTGTGAAGAGCTGCAGTTGGGTGGCAGGTCAGGAGGCCCTGCCCCAGCCCAGAGCCCACCTCCAGGCTCTGAGTGTCTACAGCCCGGAGAAAGCCCCACAGCGGTGCCTGACTTGGGAGCTCCCTGGAGAAAGGGCAGGCGCGGGCTTCCTGACCGGGATGCCACAGAGCGCAGGGAACAGCACGTCCATGGCTTGAAGAGACCCTGGGCACCGAAGGGCCAAGGAGCTGGGTCCAGGAGACCCGCCCCGGAGGGCACCTGCACTGACGGCGGGGTCGGGGGCAGCGTGGCAGAGAGCAAAACCGGGCACGTTTCAAAGGAGAAACCCCGGAAGTGAGGACACAGGGGCTGGCCGGCATTAGGCAGAGTTTCTCTGGGGGGTCTTCACTGCAGTGTCAGCGGGACAAGGGAGGGAGCCCCGGCCTGCAGGCGCCTGGGAGGGGCAAGGAGAGGGGGCGCCCCAGCAACCCTGGGAAGGAGGCAGTTTCTGGAGCCTGGAGGCAGGAGCGCAGGCTGCGGGGGGAGAGCAGGTGAAAGTGCTGAGACAGCGAGCGGGAGGCGGAGGGTGGAGGGAGGCCAGGCCGCGCCGATGGGGGGAGAGGGCTGGGACCCAACCGCCAGGCTGAGGGCAGAGGAGGAAGACGAGACTCGAACAGCGATGGCTGAGCCTTGGGTCCCATTCCCTTGACGGGGGCGCGCGACCTCACCTTGTGATACACCTGCGGCGGCGAGGTGACCAGAGTGGGGCAGAAGGAGGTGACGCCGTGGGCCAGGATTCTCCGGGCCACCAGGTCGACCCCCGCACCCACATCCTCTGTGGCCTGAGAGAAGTCCACGCCAAATCCGCCTGCGACCACGGAAAAATGGGTGGCCAGGTGCGCGGAGGCCGCCGAGGCCCCCTCCCCAGGGCCCGGGACTCACCGTTGATCTGCACGTCGATGAAGCCCGGAGCCAGGATGCAGCCGCCGCAGTCCCGCTGCTCGTCGGCCACGCGCCGCTCCTCAAAGAACAGCTTCTCGGGGTCCAGGATGCGGCCCCCGCGCACCCACAGGTCCTCCCTGGGGGCAGAGCCCGCAAGCAGGCTCAGACCGCCGGCCGCCTCCGCCCCGCGCCCCCCCCAGGCCCTCCGCCCCGGCCCCGCGCCCCCCCAGCCGCCCCGGCCCCGCGCCCCCCGCCCCAGCAGCGCGCCCCGAGCCGCGCCCGCCCGGCCCCGCCGGCCTCGGCCCCGCGCCGCCCCGTCCCGGCCCCGCCGGCCCCGCGCCGCCCCGCCCCGGCCCCGGCCCGCGCCCACCGCAGCAGCGCGCGGCCCCGCAGCAGGCGGCAGTTGGTGAACTGGAGCACCCGCGCCCGCGCCGCGCCCCGGCCGCCGCGCATCGTGAGCCGCGCCGAGTTCCGGGCCGGCCGCGCCGGGCCCAGCTGACCGCCGCGTCACGTGCCGCCCGCGTGACCGCGCACGTGACCGCCCCCCCCCCCGGAACACACACAGGCGCAGTCACGTCCGGGAGCTTTATTGGGCGCCGGCCGCAGGCCCCGCCGGCCCGCGCGGGGTTCGTCCAAGGGGCCCCGGGGCCCCCGCCCCCGACGCGGCGCTGCGGAGGGCGGCTCTGGGGGCGAGGGGGCGCCACAGACGCGCGAACAGGTCAGATCTTTATAAATAAACATCCAGGAGGAGAAGTGACGACTCTAATCACCCGTACACACAGCGGGGCGGGGGGGGGGGGCGGCCCGGGGCGGGCGGCCCGGGGCTCACGCGCGGGGCGGGGGGCAAGGCCGGGCGAGGCGGGCACTAGGACACGCGCATTCACAAGACCAGCTACTGGGGGCGGCGCCCCGCGCGTGCGGCCGGGCTGCTCTTCTGGAATGAGGGGGGCCTTTACACCGTGGTCTGCGCCGCGGGGCGGGACGGCTACTTCGTGGACAGGATGAGGGCCACGATGAGCCCGTAGAGGCCCAGCACCTCGGCGAAGATGAGGATCAGGATCATGCCCACGAAGAGCCGGGGCTGCTGGGCCGTGCCGCGCACGCCCGCGTCCCCCACGATGCCGATGGCAAAGCCGGCCGCCAGCCCGCTCAGGCCCACGCTCAGGCCGGCGCCCAGCTGCAGGAAACTCCTGGGGGAGGAGGACACGGGTCAGTTAGCGCTGCCGGGCCCCTGGCCGCAGCCACCCAACCCCATGGCCCTCCCCTAGCCAGGGGCAGCAGCCTGGCCCCAGGCCCACCCACCTGTAGAGGGTGATGCCATCATTCAGGGAGTTGGCAATGAGGACAGCCACCACCAGGCCATAGATGGCGATGATGCCCGCCATGACCACGGGGATGATGGACTTCATGATCAGCTCCGGCCGCATGACGGACATGGCGGCAATGCCGGTGCCACTCTTGGCCGTACCGTAGGCAGCGCCCAGGGCTGTGGAGGAGAGAGGTGGTGAGTGGAGCACAGGGCCAGGACCCAGGGGAGGCTTCGGCACAGCTGAGGGCCACACCGGTCACCACAGGCAGGAGGGAGCGGAAAGCTGCAGCCAGTCAGGGGCAGAAGGGCCTCGAGGGGAACAGCCCCAGCAGGGCACTGGGGGCCTGCTTTTCTCCAGCAGAGACAAGCACAGCCACCCGGCCTCCCTGGAGCGCTGCTCTGCTGTCCAGCCCTGACCCTGCTCCCACCCGGAGGCATCAGCAGCATCCGCAGCCTTGCAGGTGAATGGCGGTGCAGCCACCCAGTCATGGGGACAGGGTGGGTGGCACAGGGGTCAGGCCAGGGTCTGCCTGTGGGCACTCAGGCACCACCTGGGGAGAGCAGCGCGTGGGGGGGGGTGGGGAGGCGCTGACCTAGGAAGCGCTGTCCTGCCAGGGGAGGTCAGGAGCGCAACTAGAGAGCAGCTGTGGGCACCTCAGCCTCGCAGCAGGCCGGGCCCTGGCATTTGGAGACGGTGCTTTGAACACCAGAGAGAAGGCTGTGCCAAGGGGGCGTGTGACCAGGGTCGTCGTGGGAGGGCCAGGGGTCACCTGCCTGGGGCCTCAGGTAAGGTCTGTCCCTCCTCCAAGCCCCCCCTCTGTGGTGTCCATCTTCAAGGCTAGCGGAGCGTTTGCCCGGGACAGGCACGGCCCGGGGTGCTCTTCTGACTCTTGCCACCTTCCCATGGCCGCCTGACTGCCTGAGCAGGGGACAGGGGCGGAGGTGGAGGGCCAGACAGGGGCGGAGGTGGAGGGCCAGAACAACCCCATGCATTGCCCTGTGGACTCCATCCCCGCTTACACGAGGTGTACTCAGCGCTCGCCAGCAGGGGGCGCAGCCCCCCCCACCCCGCAGAGCTAGAACCAGGGAGGGGGGGGGGGCAGGGTCCAGGAGAGCAGGGGGAGGGGAGAGGGGTCTACAGACAGGTTTCACTGTCAAGGTGACATCCGAGTGGAGGGGTGAGTGAGCAGGGAGGGGAGGAGGTGGTAGGGTGGGGCATGGCCTCCCCAGACACCCAAGCCACACACGGTGCCTTCGGCCTGGGGCTGGGGCCCTTCTTCTTCCGAAGCCTTTCCTGGACCTGTCTGGTCACGGGCATTCCGGGGGACTCCTGCCAGGCCCATCTACGCAAGGGCCCGCGCCACACTCCTGACTCAGGAGGGAGGGTGCAGCGTGGCACTGGGCGGGAGACCGGTTACCAGGAACTTGGCATCCCAGGTACCAGGACCCTGTGAGGCTGGAGCAGGCCAGGCCCGGGAAGGAACCAAGGGAAGCTCCTCAGGAGGGAAAAGCAGCGGGCAGCGGCCACAGGACCTGGCACTGGCTGGGGCGGCAAGGCCGCGGCACGGGGTGGAATCGGGGGGCACTTCCGGGAACACGGCCCCCAGCGGGGAGGAAGTCAGAAAACAGGACAAAGGAGAAGCTGACAGCTTCATGGAAGACGTGAAGAAAGCATGAAGGGTTTGTCCTGAGTCAAGCAGAAGGGGAAGCTGAAGAGGGCACGGGAGCGGGACGGCCCGGGCCGTGGTCCTGCAGCTCCGTCGGGCCCTCGGGCCAGGCAGGGAGCGGGGCAGGCCGTGGAGGTGGCTGGCAGCGACCCGAGTCTGAGAACGGAGGGGCTTGTTCGGGGAGGCCTGGGAAAGGCATGCTGGGAGCGAGGACCTCCTCAGAGGCTGCACGTGGCCAGCAGGAGGGGCAGCCGCCTCGGGGAGCAGGCCCCGGGCCCAGCGAGCCCCTGCCCTCCGCCACTCCTCAGGCCTGCTGGCCACTCGCACTGGAGAGCACGCAGCAGCTTTCGAAGGACAGAGGCAACTGGTGACTGCAGGGGCACTGAGGCGCAAACCCAGCTTCAGGTGTGGGCAGTGACTGCCAGGGTTAAGTTCCACCCGGACAGGGACCTGGCTCTGTTCGCTGATCTCCCCCAGGGCCCCGCACACAGGAGGGGGTCAATCCGCAGGTCCACACAGCAGCTCCCCGGTGGCTGGAGGCGAGGCCCTGCAGGCCTTCTGCCACAAAAGCTCACAGGCTGGGGGCGGGGCTGCTGCCCGCTGGGAGGTGCAGGACGCCAGGCAGCCCCCAGGGATGTGGAAAGAGCAGCCAGGGAGGGAAGGGGAAGTCCAGACCACTTCTCCCACCACAAATGACCCCTTCCTCGCACATGATGGGAGGGGCAGGGCTCACTCAGCAGCTCGTGACCGGCAGGCAGGCCCAGGCAAAGGGAGGCCCCCAGAGAGCAGAGCCCCCACGTATTTACAGTCAGCAGAGACTGTTTGGAGTCCAAACCCTCCACATACCTGCGCAGGGAGCCGCCCCCTCCACCGGGCAGGGTGGGGCCGGGCAGGGTCATCAAAGCCAGAAACCAGATTGAGGAGGAGGCCTAGGCCAGACCGGACCAGTCCCCGGGAGCTGCGGCCGGGCCAGGGCTCCATCGGCCACACACCCGGGGATGGCCCCGGTGCCCTTCTCTGGGGTTGGCCGTTTTTCACCAAAGCTGACACCCAGGACCCAACTGTGGAGACCCAATTTCGAAAGCAGGTGCCCTCAGGAAGCGTGGATCGCCCCTTCCCAGGCGGGGTCGTGCGCGCAGGCAGGCACCCCGCAGCCTGCCCTGAGGGCCCCGGTCCGGAGACCGGATCCGTCCACGCCGCCCTCCGTGCGCCCCTCTCGCTCGCCCGACACGGACTGGCCGGCCTCCCGGGCTTCCCCCTTCCCGCGTCGCCCGTGAGACCCCCGCCCGCGCCCGGGCCCGCCCGCGCCGGCCCCACCGCCCGCCGGCCCACGGGTATTGGGCAACGCCGCCCGCCCGCGCCGGAAGCGCTCGCCGGGAGCCGACCCGCCGCGCCCCGCCGGGCGCGTCTGCCGGGCCGGGCCGGCACCAGGGCGAGGGCCCGGCCGGGCGCGGGCCCGGCCCTCCGCCCCCGCCGCCGGGACCGGCCGGCCCGCGTCGGGAGCTGTCCGAGGTGTGATGTCACACCTGCCGCAGGCTGGGGGGGCGCGAGCAGGCGCAGGACGGCGCGCCCCCACCCCAGCCCGCCGCTCGCGGGCTAAGATGGCAGCGGCGCCGCCGCCCGCCCCCGCCCCCACGCGCCGCCGGGCCGCGCGGCCGGCCGGGACCCTCGGGGGCCGCGGGGCGCCCCCCCCGCCGCCCGCGGGGCCCCGACCCCCGCCCGCAGTCGCGTGAGGCCGGGCCCCCCGCGGCCCGCAGTCAGGTCAGAGTGACGTCACACACCGAGCCCGGCGGGCTGCGGGCCCGCGCGCCCCGGCGCCCCCGCCTCCCGGGCCTCCCGCCGCGGCGCTCACCGCTGAAGACCATGGCGGCCGAGGCGCCCATGACCGCGAAAAAGGAGGCGTACTCGGGGCCGCTCTTGGCCTCGGACATGTCTGCGGGTGGGGGGCGAGCGGCGCGGGCGGCGGCGGCGGCGGGCGAGGGCGGCGGGCGGCGGGAGCTGCGGAGGCGATCCGGCCCGTCAGCCGCTGCGCTCTAAATACCAGCACCGCAGGACAAAATGGCGGCGGCGGGCGCGTCACATGACCCGGGCCCCGCCCCTGCGGGCCGTACCACTCCGCCCGGCGGGGGTGCCGCGACCCCGGTGCGCCCCGCGGCCCGCCGACCGGCCCTGCGCGGCGCCGCCGCCCCGCCGCCCCGCGCCCCGGCCCTTCCTCCGCGGCCTGCCGGGGCGCTGCCGGGCGCGGGCTCCCCTCGAACCCCGCGGCGTTGGTGCCGTCCGCTCCCGGGGCCGGGCCGGGGCGGGGCGGGGCGGGGCGGTGGGCGCCGCATTAGCATACGGGGAGGGGCCTCGCGGGGCCCCGCCTCCTCTGCGGCGGCGGCTGCCGAGCGCGCGGGGCTCCGGGTGCGCCGCGCTCCGGGTGCGCGGGGCTCGGCGTTCCCCGCGCTGCCGCCGCCGTCGCCCCTGGGGCCGCGCGCGCGCCCGCCGTCTGCGGAGCCGACACCCGGGCCCCGGCGCCGGCCCGTCCGCCCCCCGCGCCTGTGCGGTCCCGCCGCCCCCGCCTGGCCGCCCGCGGCGCCCTCGCCGGTCCCCCTGCCCGGCCCGGCCCGGCGCGCGGGCTCGTCTGGCCTCCACATTTGCGCCTCCGGGGGGACGCGTGCCGGCCCAGGCCCGCCGGCGTCCAACCTGTGGAGGCGCCCCGGGAGCTCTGCGCGCGTCGAGGCGCTCCCCGGCTCCTCTTCCAGTCCCCCCTCCTGCCCGCGCCTTAGGGCCGCCTTCGCTTCTGGAGCAGTGGGGGGCACTGCCCTGAGATCCCGCGTGGGCGCCCAGCCCCCAAGCTGGAACCTTCATCTCAACGCTCCGGCCCCGGGCTCCTCGGGTGCCCTCGCCGCCAGGAGCCCGCGCCCGCCACCGGGTTTGGGTCTCCCGGAGCCACAAGCCCTGGGCCGAGCTCTCCCTCCCTGGATGGCCAGAGCGGCCAGAGGTCAGGGGGGCGGCGGCCAGGTCACCTTCCCGACCCCGAACTCCCCCTCTGAACTCGCAGCGCAGGAAGCGCCAGGTGTGTCCCCAGCGAAGCCTCCCTCTTCCTTGTCCGCCTCCCACTTTGGAAAGAGGAATCTTCACTTGGGGCTCCCGCCCTTCCTCCCAAGTACTCGCCCTTGCCAAGGTCACCTGGGCCACCCCTCTGTAAGCGCAGACACATCTGTCCTGCCGCCTGCGTGGCAGCCCTCTGCCAGCCTCCCCACCCGGCCTTTCTCCGGCTCACCTCTGCGGAGCGGACACCCTCATTCCTTCCTGGGGTCACAAGAAGGGCAAAGACAGGCCCAGGCCCTGCAGCCTCAGCTTCACTGCCGCCCAGGGGTGCCCAGGGCTCCCTGGGGCACTGCCCCGACCCTCATGGCTGCAGCTTTATCCTCCCCCTGGCACCCCCACATGCTGTGCCCTGCACCAAGCCGGGCTCCCAGGGAGCCCAAGGCCCGTGTGCTCAGCCCCCACACTCCAGGCACGCAGGACCAAGGTCAGGGGAGCCCAACTGGAGCTGGTGTTGGGGGGACGGGAGGATTTGGTCCCAGGGGAGAGGAGCAGAGCAGCCCACTGGGGCCGGAACCAGCGCAGATTTTTTTGCAAGCACATTGGTGGGTGAAACTCATGGACCCCAGTACAGCCGTGATCCCGAGGCTGGGACGTTGGGGAGACAGTCTCTTTCTTGGGCTCAGGGACCCCATCAGCTTCTCTGTCCTTGCCTTCACGTCGTGGCCCAGTTCCAGTGTGAGGCCACGGTGGGGTGCCCACACATGCAGCCTGCCTGTCTCACCCGGAGCTCACCCTGCCCCCACCGTCACTGCAGCACCTCAAGTATTTCCATTTCCAGCAAAGGACTCGCCGTCCACCCAGCAGCCGGCACAGCAGCGGCGAGTCACAGCCCCGCTCCTCCTTACTCACCGCCGAGATCCCCAGTTCTGCCTGGGGGGTTCCCGAGCCCCTCCCCCTCCTGGGTGTCTAACCTGGGTCCTGGGAAGACTCACCTGGTCTGCCCACTGCTGTCCAAGGGGGTCTAGCTGACGCTCCCGGACTCCGCCTGCCCAGAGCACTGGGGGCAGCCAGCCCCGGCACGGCCCACTGAGGAAGACAGCGCTATTGCCCTCATTTTGTGGACAAGGAAAGGCCCGGGAGGACTGAGTGCCCTGCCCAGGTCTCCGGACTCCTCAGAAGGCCCAGGGTGCCTTCTTGGCCTCACCGCCCAGAGGGCCCTGGGGTGGGATGGGACGTGGGCAGGGGAGGGAACGGCCAGGGGCCGCTGCTGCCTTCTCCTCCCAGCCAGCACCCCATCAGGAGCCCCTTGCATGAGGTGGGGGGGTGCCTGGCTCTCCAGGAACGCAGGAACTCAGTCTGGGCCCCTGGCAGAGGCGGGCGGCGGGTGGGCTCCCTCAGGGCCGGGGAGAGAAGCGCCCGGCCCCTGCAGAGGCCTGAGGAGGGAGGGCGCTGGGGAGACACGGAAGCCAGTGATGAAACCCTAAATGGCCCCACAGGGTTGGAAAGATGAAGCTCCCCGAGGGAGCCACTGCAACGGAGGAAAAGGGCCCAGCGGCGGCCCAGCAGCCCGGGCAGCTCGAGGGCCGGCAGTCCCGCTGGCCCGCACAGGCGGCTGGAGGGCGGGGGCGCAAGAGGCAGGGGTGCTGCTGGAGGCCCTGCGCGAAGCTGATCTGGGGGGGGTTTAGTTAGGGCCTGTGAACGCTACAGGCGGCTCGGTACCGTCCGCAGGTAAGTGCGGGTCCACCGGCAGGGCGGGCCGGGCCGCGGGTTGGGGAGCCGCCGCCCCAGCACCCCAGCTGGATGTCAGGCCCGGGGGCAGGAGGTCGGCGGCGGAAGGTGGGCTGCTGGGGCGCCGGGGCTCTGGCCTCCCGCCGCCGACCAGCGCGGGTGACCCGACGGGCCTGGCCCGCCCCACGCCCGGGCCGCGGTGGCCGGAGGGGGCGCGGCGGGCGCGGGCCGCCAGGGGGCGCGGCGGCCCCGCCTGAGTCCGCGGCCCGGGGGTGTCCAAGGCGCCCTGTGATCCGGGCCCGCGCTCCAGGGGAGCCGGTCCAGGGACGCGTCCTCGCCCCGCGCGGCCCCGGGCCTCGCCTGCCCCGAGCGCCGTCCGGCCGGCCGGGACCACCGCCCGCCCCGTCCTGGCTCAGCCCCCAGCGCCCCGCAGGCTCCGCGGCCCCGGGACGGCCCCGGGGGGGCCCGATGCGGCGGCTGGGGTGCGGCCCCCCGCGCCGTGGCCGGGTGCGGGGCCGGCCAGCCTGGACGGCCGCGCGGGGTGCGGCCCAGGGCGAGGCGCCCGCTCCGGGGCACGGGCCTCCCGGGGGAACGTGGGCGTCGGGCCGCGCCCGATACCTGTGGACCTGCCGAGCGCGGGGCAGCCAGACTCCCCCCGGGTAACGTCGGTTTTAAAAATAAAACAGAGCCTTCACGCCGCGGGGGAGGCGCGGGTGCGGCCGTGAGCGCCCGCGGGGGGGGCCTGGGGGGCGGGGACGATGGAGGGAGCACGGCCCACCGCCCGGGGAGGCAGCCTGGGGAACGCGCGGGTCACAGCTCTGCACCCCCACCTCCAGCCACGGCACCGAGGGGGTCAGGGCCTGCCCTGCCGCCCGCGAGTCTGGGTGCTAACCCCCAGATCCCTGCCCCTCTGCCTGAGGTCAGCCCCCCACATGCAGACCGCCTTCCCGCCCAGGCACTCGCACCCCTTTCCGGAATCATGCCAGGCAGGGCACTACCAGCGGCTCAGGAAAGGGGCCCCCTGGCCGGCGCCACGGGCTGGAGGCTGGAGGAGGGAGCTGAGGGGGCAGCGCTGGGGGCCAGGCCTCCACCCCCCACCCAGGCCGGCCCAGCTCTGGCCGCAGAGGCAGCGGGGCAGTGAGACAGGGCGGCAGCCAGCGTGGGGCAGAGGGGGCGGGCAGGAGGGTGCGGGGACGGCCGCGAGGGGGCAGAGGACGGGGCTTCGCTTCTCCACCGCATGCAAGAAGGCCAGGAGTGGGAGAGACCGGACACCACCGACGTCACCCCGGGAGCATGCTCGGCCAGGAGCCCTCCCACGTTCTCCGCTGGAGATTTGGGTCACGCTCCTGCCATCGCGTCCCCCGTGGGCCCCGTGAACTGAGGAAACACCCGGAAGGCGTCAGCTACGCGTCCCCCCTCAAGCCTGGCAGCCTCCTGCCCCTTCCCGCCGCCCTTCCCACGGGCGTTCGTGCATCAAGGCCTTCGTGGCTCCAGAGGGTCCACGGTGCCGTCAGTGACCATCGTCCAGCCACAGCCACGGGCCCTGGGCCCTGCCTCCTGCAGCATCTTCGCTGTCCCGAGCCTTACCCGCTGCTCCCGTGCCTTCCCGCAGGAGCCCGGCAGGGACCCCGCCCAGTCAGCCAGGCCTCTGGGGCCCCTCCTGCAGGAGGTCAGGCCCCTGGACCTGCCCCCAGGGTGAAGCGCCTTGACCTCGAGACCTGGCCAGAGGCACGGTCGCACATCCAGACGGCACATCCAGGGAAGGTGCTATCACCGCAGCTGAATGTTCACGCCAGATCTGAACACCCACGTGCTTTTCTGCTTGAGGGGGTGCAGAAGGGCAGCTCTGGGAGGCCTGCCTTGCCCTGGGCTGGACCTGTCGAGGGGGGAGGGCAGGGCACAGCGCTGCGAGGGCCTGGGGGCCGCGCCCTGAGGGCCTCCAGTGGCTGTTCCAAGCAGTGTTAGTGTTGTGAATTTGATGACGTTCTGGATTTAATAAAAGTGGCAGTAAATAGCTATAAAATTAAATCTATTGGGCCTCCCCTGGTGGCGCAGTGGTTGAGCGCTGGGTTGCGAAGCTGCCCGCAGCCTCTGTAGCACCAGTTCAATCCCCGGCCACCAGGCGAGGGTCCCACATGGCGCGCAGACCTCTCCTGCCGCCCGCTGCTCCCCTCAGCAGTGGACTTCGGTCCTTCTGCCTGCTCTGCTCCCCGCTCTGGCTCTGGTGGATTCTCTCACCCTCCCGCGCTTCTGACTGTACCCAGTGCTTGTATAAATAAATCTTTTTTAAAAAAAATCTTTTTAAAAAAGGACAAATTGAAATACTAATTTAAATGCAATTAATCAGGGCCTCCCCGGTGGCGCAGCGGTTGAGCGCTGGGTTGCGAAGCTGCCCGCGGCCTCTGCGGCGCCGGTTCGATCCCTGGCTGCTCCCCAGCCACCGGAGGAGGGTCCCGCATGGCGTGCAGACCTCTCCTGCCGCCCGCTGCTCCCCTCAGCAGTGTCCTTCGGTCCTTCTGCCTGCTCTGCTCCCCACTCTGGCTCTGGTGAATTCTCTCACCCTCCCATGCTTCTCACTGTACCCAGTGCATGTAAAAACAAAACAAACAAATAAAATAAATAAATAAAACATGCCTCTATTAAAAAAAAATAAATAAATGCAATTAATCAAAACTCTGGAAGTCCATAAAATACAACAGACGTCCTCACGTGCTGTGACTCATTCCTGCTAACAAGATTCTCTGAAGTCCTAAGGACACAGACCCCCGGCAGAGAGTACCTGAGTGAGCTAGTTTGCAGGGTGCTTACACTCTGGCTTATAAAGTGAATTTTTTAAATTTTTTAAAATTTTTTAAAGATTTGTTTATTTATACAAGAACTGGGGTATAGGCCAGATGCACAGGAGGGTGAGAGGATTCACCAGAGAGAGACAGAGCGGGGAACAGAACAGGCAGACTGACTCAAACACACTGCTGAGGGGAGTAGCGGGCGTGTCAGGAGAGGTCTGCCACGCCATGTGGGACCCTGACCAGTCGGCCAGGATCGAACCTGCACTGCATAGGCTGCGAACAGCTTCACAGCACGGTGATCAACCGCCTGCGCCACCAGGGAGGCCTTAAACTTTTTTTTTAAGATTTATTTATTTATGCATATAAGAGCTGGGGCACAGGCCAGAGGTGTGGGGGGTGGAGGTGAGAGGAGTCACCAGAGATGAGTGGGGAACAGAATAGCCGGATTGACTGAAGTACACTGCTGAGGGGAGCAGTGGGGAGACAGGAGAGGTCTGCTGCGCCATGTGGGCAGCTCCATGGCCAGGGATCAAACTCGTGCTGCAGTAGCTGCAGATAGTTTCATAGGTTGCATCTTAACGCCTTGCGCCACCAGGGAGGCCCCTGAAGTGAACTTTTATATGTTTATTTAAAATTTTGTGCTATTCCACAAGACTTGGACTAATTTTTAACATCAAAGGTTAGTAATGATGAAAAAGAAATGAAATATTAAAGTAAGTAATGTTCTATTTGGGGATACTTAGTAGCAGATAATAGGATACTTTAAAATTAAGATAATTATCACAAGGCTTTTTAGGTTAGTAAGATGTCAAGAAAAAAAGTTGAGGGCCTCCTTGGTGGCACAAGGGGTTAAGCACCACACTATGAAGCAATCCACAGCCGCTGCAGCACGAGTTCGATCCCTGGCCAGGGAGAAACCCACATGGCGCAGCAGACCTCTCCTGTCTCACCCACTGCTCCCCTCAACAGTGGATTTCGTCAGTCTGCCTATTCTGTTCCCCACTCTGTCTCTGGTGAGTCCTCATCCCGTATCTCTGGCCTGTACCCCAACTCTTGTATGCATAAATAAATAAATCTTTAAAAAAAAAAGTTGAAATTCTAAGGGCCCATTTTGACAAATCATTCTAGAGACTCAGCAGCCACTACTCTCCCAGGGCTGGGTCTCAGGAGCACTGGATGGGGAGCACCAGATGGGGAGCACTGCGTGGGGGACCACCGATGGGCAGCATAGCGCGGCAGCTCCCAGAGGACCCTCTGGACTTACTCACCAGAGAAGAGAACACCCAGCCAGGAAGTCCGCAGGGGAGCCAGGCAAAAAGCGCCATGTCAGCGTCTGAGGCTCTCACGGGCCCCACCAACATGCAGTGGCAAAGCGCTGACAAGCGCCAGGGGGCAGCTCCCTATACCCCCTTTGGTGAGCCTGGGTGGCCCCGAGGCCCCTCTGGTTGAAGAGACCAGACCTGGAGCCTAGGAGTAGGAGTCACGAGACCACGTTTAATGAACACCAAGGCTGTCGGGACAGACGAGGTCTTGGGGGCCACGGGGCTGCAGTGTCCAGTGGGTGGGCAGCATGCCCCTCCCTGCGCGGTGCCCATGGAGGCCCTGGGCAGTCCTGTGGGGACAGCTGAGCGGACGAAAGCCTTGACGGCATTGGGGAGCCGAGTTCCAGAAGGTCTGTGGCTCGCCCAAAGCCACACCAGGTCCCCAGCCCCTGCTTCTGCACTGTGGCTGACTCAGAGGAGACCAGAGTGGGGCAGGGAGAAGCCAGCTGGGAGGTGGGCAGAGCTGCTGGCTGGAGCCAGGGCGGAGGGTGGGTCAGGCCCAGCACTGAAGGCCCAGGCCCCAGCCGGCCACTTGGTACCTGCTTCTTTCTCTCCCCTCAGAGCACTCGGCCCTCAGGACCAGCTGAGGGGGCCACGTGCGGGTGGGCAGCTCCCCAGGTGGCCCCTGGTGAAGAAGGCCGGGCGGGCGGGGCAGGGAGTGGCAGCCTCATGAGGTCAGGCTACAAGGGGCGCAGACGGAGGTGCAGGCCGTGCAGGGGTGGGGTGAAGGTGCCGCAGGGCAGGGGTGGGCGGATGTGCAGGGGCCAGCCAAGGGGTGGGCAGGGCTGGACCCGGGTGAGCAGGCCTGCTGGGCATCTGGCTGGGTCCCAGGTGCAGGCGTGGCAGCAGCGTGACGGAGAAGTGGCACAGTCGGGCGGCAGAGCCCAGGGCTGCGGGCAGGCGTCTCCATGCGGCCTGCGGTGGGGCTGGCGGGTGTGGGGCGGTCCTGGGAGGCGGCCTCGGGCCCAGCAGAAGCTCTGGCTCTGCAGAAGCACAAGGACAGCAGCGTCCCCTCCGGCCAGCGGCACACATCCGGCCCTCCAACGTCAACTGAGGCAGCCAAGGTGGCCAATGGTGGAGAAGCCCCACCAAAGGCCCTGTAGGGAGGAGGCAGAGCCGGCTGCTGCCGCGCGTATGCTGCCTTGGGCCAGTCCAGGCCTGTGTCTGGGCCTGGCGGGAGGTGGCCAGGCTGCACCAGCAGGGGGCGCGCTGGACTCGCAATTGGCAGGGGCTCTTGCCTTCCCAGGTCTTGCCCTGGCCTCCCCAGGCCTGCAGGAGAGGCAGCCCCAGAGAAGGGCGTAGGCACCCAGCAGCCCCGCCTGCCCAGGCACTGGCCGCCCATGGCTCTCCCTGAAGAGGAGGCCCCGCCCTGGGGGGCGGCCCTGGGCACCCTCAGGCATCACTGGGTGTCGGGGTCCTGGAAGCCCCAGGCCTCCACAGCGGCGATGAGGAAGTTCTCGGAGCAGAGCGGCTGGTTGTTGAATGTGTCACAGTGCCCGGTGCGGCCCCGGTTCAGGTCCCCATCAATGTAGAGCGCCTGGCCGCCGCCGCCACCTGCGGGAGGCCAGGTTAGGGGCGCGTCCGGCTCTGCCCTGGTCCTGTGTCCACGGGGCTAACCTTCCACCCCAGCCAGGGCCCCGGCGAGGGCCCTTTGGTCTGGCCCTGCCTGTCCCTAGGGCGAGGCCCCGCCCCAAGGCCCGTGAGCCTGCCCCAGACAGGGGAGCCGGAGGGCTGGCAGGGCCAGCACAGGGGGCCCACCTATGATGAGACAGTCGCTGGCCCCAGCCATGAACATGGACTCGGCCTTGGAGGGCAGGTTGAAGTGCCGGGCAGCCAGGAAGGGCGAGAGGCGGTCACTGAGGTCCGAGGGCGCAGACGCGGACGGGGCGGTCTCGGGGGGCGCTGGCTTGGTCAGCTCGGGGTGCTTGATGACCACCCACTCATAGCGCTGCACCTCGGGTTGCAGCTGGGAGCGAAGGGCAGTGAAAGGAGGCCCCAAGGTCATGTCTTCACCTGAACTCTGAGCACCAGCCCGGGCCACGAGGCCACCCCACACTGTGCAGTCGGGGGCTCCGGGGCTGAGGGCCGGGCGGGGGCTGCTGTCCTAGGAGGGGCACGGAGCGGGTCTGGCCACCCTGAGCTCCCCAGGGAGACCCACTCACCCTGAACACGAAGCACTCTCCTGTCCCGAAGAAGCCCAGTTTGCCCCCAAACTTCTTCCTCTCGCTCCAGTCCGTGGACAGGTAAGCCCCGCACACCTGGGGGAGGCTGGGTCAGCAGCGCCTGTGCGGATGGCCCTTGTGCGGGGCGTGATCCCAGCCACTCCCGCCTCCCCAGGCCAGGCTGGGGGGAGGGCGTGAGAGGGCCTGCAGGGCTGGGGCTGGTCCCGGCACTTGACTCAGCCCCAAGTGGCCACAGGCCCTGCCTGAGGGCCTGACAGGCAGAGCCCAGGGCAGACTCAGACTCCCGGGCTCCTCCTGGAGACGTGGTGCGGGACCCCCGGGGCAGGTCTGGACAGGCTGCTGGGCTTTGGGCTTCCAGACCCCGCAGGCACCTTCCGGGTGACAGTGGACAGGCCCCTGAAGATTCCTGGCTGGGGGCGGGGGTGCAGACCTGCCTGCCTGGGGTGGCCGCACCCCAGCCCCCCTGTGCCCCGTAGGCCGGCCCTGAGCCAGGCTGTTCCAGCAGGGGCTAGAACCCTGGGAGCAACGGAGGCCCCAGGCGTCTGTGAGCAGAAGGCAGGAGGCCAGAAGAACCCCTCTGCAGAGGGCTGGCCTCACTGTGCATGCCGGCACAGCCACCAGCCAGTGTGGAAGCAGCAGGGGCGCCCCCCCGCTTCTGGGCACAGGAGCAGGACTCTCTAGGGCTCGGCAGAGGCCCCGGGCCCCAACCCTCACCTCCTTCTGCGTTGTCTTGATGAGCAACAGGGTCGGTTCGTGCCCCTCGCATTGGAAGTAGAACCTGGGCAGAGACCACCGGGGCCAGCTCTGAGGACAGGGCCACGGATGCTGCCCACTGCTCCCAGGTCCACGGCGGGCAGAGCTGGGCTTGGCTGGCACTGCCCCACAGGGCCGGCCTGGACACCTGGCTGTGGACCACCACTCGGGAGGTGGCAAGTGGCCGGGCCTGTGGCCTGGAGGTTGTGCACCAGGGCGGGGGGTGGGGGGGCTGCTGTAGTGTCTACACAGGCCCTGGGCTGGTGGGTGTGGATGGGGGGGCGGGTACGGGAGAAGCCCAGGAGGGCCCAGGCCCCCCACCCCGGAGCGGTGGAGGCAGCAGCAGAGCCGAGCCCCTGGCCCGCACAGGCCCCGCAGTGGTGCTACCTGGTCAGGCTGTACCCGTGCTGCAGCGAGGAGAAGAGCAGCAGTGGCTGGCAGAGCGCGAACCGCTCCGGGACCCACGACCATATGTCTCTCATCTCCTTCACGCTGACCACCTCCGAGTGGAAGTTCTCCGCGTGGACGGCTAAGTGCACGAACTGCCTAGGGAGCGGGGCGGCTTAGAGCAAGGCTGGGCCAGCCACCCACCCCCGCCAGACAGTGTCCGCGGGGAACCACGTGAGCCCCAGGGGCCTGGCCCCGCCCCGCACGGAGCAGGTGAGCCCCGCCCAGGGGCCAAGCCCCTCTGAGAGGTGGGGGCAGAGAGCAGCCAGCACTGGCCAGTCAAGCACCAGCAGACAGCACAGCCAAGGCAGCCCAGCAGGCAGGCGGCAGGCAGACGGACAGGCAGGCAGGCGGACAGACGGCACTGCTGAGGCCCGAGCCGGCGCAAGCAGCCAGCCCCACAACACCAGGCTGGGGGCAGAGAAGCTCCTACCTTTTAGAGAGCGAGACACTGAAAACCCGGAGGAAGCAACGAACAGGAGAAGAGGAAGGAGACCGAGGACAGGTCAGTGGGAAGTGCACAGGGGCGTGCTGAACTCTGGCCTGGGAGAAGGGCTGCCCGCCCCGGCACAGCCGGGACACGCTCCCGGGTGCCGGGGCCTGCCCTCCCAGGGTGCCCAGCAGCCACAGCTTGGCCCGCGCAGAGCCTCCCGGGACGGCCCTCGGACGCCGGCCAGAGGCCGGCCAAGCATGGGCACGACGCGCGACGCCCCGGCCCCCACGCAGGCCGGCGGCCCCTGCCCACCTCTTCTGCTTGACAGTGATGCCCTTCTGCTTCAGGGCCTTCTCGTTGGCCATCTGCAGCAGCTGGATCTCCTTCCGGGAGAAGAGACGGATGGCGAAGGCTTTCTCCAGCAGCTTCTCGGGGGACGCGGTCCGGGCGATGTCCCTCACAAAGGCACGGATGTCCTGCTTCACGTTGTCCGACTCGGGGGGCTGCCCGGCCCGCGCCTTGTGGAAGAACTTCAGGATGGCCAGCGCCACGCGGTACAGCACCTTGTAGCCCTCCACCAGGAAGACGTCGAAGACGCGGGCAAAGTGGCCAAGCGGCAGCTCCCCGAAGAGCCAGCGCTGCCAGTCGGCATAGACTTGCAGCACGTCCTCGGCCACGGCCACCATCAGCTTGTGCGCTGCCTGGCAGTACTTGTTCACCAGGTCCCCGAAGGTCATGCAGGAGGACTCAAAGGCCAGGAAGCTCTGGTCCACCAGCTTGCGGCCGGGGTCGTTACAGGCCAGGATGCGGCAGGCCTTCTCGAAGCACTCAGCCTCGTCGATGCTGTAGTGCAGCAGCAGGGCCACCACGGCGGGCAGCGCGGGGCAGAAGGAGATGTCGGGGAACTGGTGGGCGATGCACAGCAGAATCTTGCGCACGGCCCCCTCGCCCCGCGGGTTCAGGCAGTAGCTGGGCACCTGCGTGTTGTCCACGAACTCGGGCAGGGGCAGGCTGCTGCCGCTGTGCTTGCCCACAATCTTGCCCACGATGTCACTGTACACGCTGGCGTCGGGCGTGACGGTGCGGCAGGGGATGTCCCGGATCAGCCGCTGGTATACCTGGGCGCGCAGGGCGTGGCTGCGGGCCCAGTAGCCCTGGCGGGCCAGCTGCTTCAGCTCCTGCAGCTCCGTGCAGCTCAGCTCCCTGGGCCCCAGGTCCTGGATGGCCGCGTCCATCTTGTCTCTGTCCACAAAGCAGTTATAGCCCGGGGAGTCCATGGTGCAGGGGGCGCCCAGGGGCGCGGCGGGGCTTAGAGCAGCTAGGCCCTCCGGCCCCCGCTCTGGGGCCTCTCTGCCAACCTGCTGGCCATCTGCAGCCTGAGGGTGAAAAGCTGCGTTCAGCGCACCTCCGTGAAGGCTCACGGCTGACACAATGCGCCTTTGTCCAGGCTCTGGAGAGCGCGGAGGGGCTTCCGGCTAGGAGACGTGGATGTTCTGGGAAGTCAAGCTGGGGGGGCTATGAAGCTACCGGAATGGGCTGCACAGTGCCAAGCTAGGGAGGGGCCTCGGAAGGGCTGACTCTGAGCAGAAACTGTCCCTGAGGGGGTGCCCTCTTGGGCCCACACATCACCTTTTTGCAAAGGACCCGCTGGCCAGCAAGTCTGCAGGCCAAGCTCCTGCCAGGCACCGCAGGGGAGGTGCTGGAGGGGTAGGCGCAAGGCCTGCGGCACACATGGAAGGGGTCCCGGCTTCACATGAGACCTTTCTGGAGCCCAGTCACCCGGAAACACCAGGGGACTGTGGTCCTTGCTCCACCAAGGACCCGTGTCGAGCCACGTGGCCCCGAGAAGACGCAGCCGACATGCTGTCGGGGGCCCCAGCGTCGGGGACCCCAGTGAGGGGCACCCCGGCGTGGGGCCTAGTCCAGTGCCTGCCACCAAGGCTTCAGTCACCTACCTCAGGTCAGGTCCTGCCTGGTCGGTGCGAGTGGCCAGCGGGGCTGCAGGGCCACTTCAGAGAGTTCTGGTAAGTGACCAGGCGACCCCGGCGTCTGTAGCATCCAGGACGTTCATCTGAGTGTGAAAAAGCAGAGTTAAGGGTCACAGGCCAGGCCCTGGGAGAGTGTCCGGGCGCCCAGTGCTGGGCCTCTGGCTGGCGCAGGACACACAGGTCACTGAGCGCCTGAGCTGCTCGGGGGCGTGGGCCGCCCGTGGCCATCACCAGGCACCTCCAGGACCTCCTTGCCTTCCCAGCCGAAACCCTGTCCCCTGAGCACGAGCCCCGCAGCTGCCACGGCCTCCTCTCTCACTGTCCGTCCGCCAGTGGACATGGGTGCCCCTGAGGCAATGCCAGGGACGCCAGCACCCCGCTTTCAGCTCTTCCCGGCACACACCCGCCGACATGCCCATAGGGGCTGCCCGGCAGAAACGCTCACCACGCTCAGGCCTGGCGGCTCCATTCCGCACGGCCCGCAGCACAGAGCCGAGCCACGGCAGTGCCAGGCCTGCGGCCAAGGCTAGGACTGTCCCCTCAGAGAAGACCCCAATGGCAGCTGATTTCTCCTGGGGTCGGTGGGGAGGGAGTGAGCCCCAGCTCCAAAGCCCAGGCCTGGCACTCACAGCCCACAGCTGGCCCCGCAGCAGGGCCCCGCGCCCGCCTGGGCAGCCGAGAGGTGGTGACCTCCGGAGGGACCTCAGGCCCACCCCGTGTGCCCACGAGCCCGCACCTCTGGGCAGCGTGTGTTTACGGAGAACACAAGCAGGCAGGACGGTGCCCAGCCTGCCCGGCGGCCTCAGGCTCGGGCTGAACATTAACCTGGAAACCCCAGAGCGGCTCCCACCCTCTCAGAGGTCCTGGGAAGGCCCTTCAGGAATGCGGTCCAGCACCCGGCCAGATGCGGGGCTCCCCTGCAGAGGCAGGCGGGGGACCTGCAGGCGCCTCCCCAGCCCCACCCCATGGTGTTTCTGGGCCAACAGGCCCTCCTGGGCACCGAGCTGGGGCTACCTGCAGGAAACACATCACCGCAAAGAGATCAAACAGCATGAAATCACAGGGGGGACATTAAGGGAGACTGAGGTCACGCTGGATGGCCACGGGGCGCCGGAGCAGCCCTGCAGACCCTCCCGGCACCGACCCGGAGGGCCCACAGACTCATGCTGACCACAGTCAGGGGCGGGGGCGGGACACTCTGAGACAGGCCGGGGGGCACAGACTCAGGGACAGTAGCTGGGGTTGGCAGCCATCACACCACCCCCTCCCCACCTCCCCAGGGCCCGCCGGGCCTGGGGCGCAGGAGAGGTCCACGGGGACCCCACAGGCAGGAGCCCGCAGGGAGGCATCTGCCTGATGGCACAGAAGGGAGCAGGGGGTCACGGCGGCGTTGGGGAGAGCGCTCGGATCAGCGGCCCGGGCGGCTGGATGTCCGGGCCTCCTGGCCTGGCTCCGGCTGGGGTCTGGGCCCGGCTCCTGGCAGGTCCCAGGTCCTGGGAGGGCCGAGGCGCTGTCAGCTTTCTCTCCTGCCTGCGCGGCCTTCCCCACCCCGGCGGCCGCTCCCAAGCCCCAGCCCCTTCCCAAAGCGCTGGCCAAGGGACCTGTGGGCAGGGGTGTTTCTTAGACAGAAAGCAGAAAGCCAGATCCCAGGTGGAAACGAGCCCCCCACGTTACCAGGGGCGAGGCCCTCCAGGTCTGCATTGACCCTGAGGAGCTCCCAAGGGGCCTGGGCCCCTCAGCGGTTCCAGCCTGGGCCAGCGGGGCCTTTTCTGGGGTGGGGAGTTTCCTAAGAGATGACAGCCAGGCTGGGAGCACCCCACAGCTCAGATAAACCCCAACTCTCCTCCACTCAACCCCCAAGGGTGCCCACGGGAGGAGCAAGGAGGCCAGACCCCCACGCCCGAGGGTCAGCTCCAGCAGCAGGGGGCCGGGAGGGGCCCAGGAGGGTGGAGCAGGCGGGAGGCGTCAGCCCAGGAGACCGTCCACGCGGTCGCCTCCCGCCCACCCTGGGGACGCTCCTGAGGCCCCTCGTGAATGACAAGCCCCACGATGGCCTCTTGGCACAGGGGTCCCAGTCTCGCCCCCACCAGCGCAGGCCCCCTCCGCCCTCGAGGACGGGGCTCAGGCCCCGCTGTCCAGGCAAGGACGAGCTCCCCGCACCGGATCTGCGGACAAGCTTCCGGTGAGGGCCACGGGCCGCACGCCCCCCACCCCCTGTCTCCTCATCTGACAAACTCCCTGCACTCTGCAGCAGCTGCCCCCACCCACGGGAGCCCCCAGGGCCCATGAGGGGAGGACGGGGTCCAGAAGAGGTGGCGCCTGGGCTGGAGGTGACCCAAGGGTAAGGCAGAGACCCCAGCACACGGCCCGGGTGTGGGCGAGGTGGCCCAGGGGACAGGTTCCAACTGGGGGTCCAAGGGCCTGTCACCGCACAGGGGCCTCCAGAGGCCAGAGCAGCTGGCCCAGGGGTGCCCTGCGGGGTCCTGTGCAGGGGCCTGGCCCTGTCCACTCCCCCACGCTGGCTCCCCGCCCAGTGCGACTGGCCCCCTGCGCCCCCACAAGGCAGGGAGGCCGGCACTCACCAGGACTCCTGCCCGCAGCGCCCGGCCCAAGCCCGCTGCAGCTGAAAGGGCAGCTCAGAGCTGAGGACAGGTCGCAGGGCTGACCGCCCAGAACGGGCGTCCTCAGTCCCTCCCTCCAGGCTGAGCCACCCCCAGCCAGCCCGGGGCGGGGGGCTGCGCCCTGGAGTGGAAGGCTGCAGAAGCAAAGAGCAGCGGGGAGACCAGGAGCCCCGAGGAGGACGAGGAGGAGTGGGCAGCGGCCAGCAGGCCGGCCAGACGGGGAGGGGGAGGACATCCGGGGGAGGGCGTGAGGCGGGCCTGGCTCGAGCCAACCTGAGGCCACTCAGGGAGGAGCAGCGGGCGGGCGGGCCCGGGGCAGAGAGGTCTGGGGCGGTGATGACCACCCTCTCCCATGACGCCCAGTCAAGTGTGACTTCCTCGTGAGACCCACGGGCGGGGGAGGGCAAGGAGCCGGCAGCTTTCACCCCCAGGCCTGGGCATGGCTTCCGGGCACTGGTCTCCCTCGGGAGGCTCCCCGGGTGCTGACGCTGGTCACTGGGGTGACAGGGCCACCGAGCTCCCCATTCCCACCTTTTTGCCCTGAAGCTCCCGGATGGCACATAGCCCCGCGGGTTGTCCAGAACGTGCCCTTCTTCTGGCCAGAAGCAGCGGCCCTGCCTGGAGCCCTGTCCCCTCCCCGGGTCCTCCCCAGCCCCTGCCTCCTCTCAGCTCAGCTTCCTGCCTCATCCTCTCTGCAGCCATCTCTGTAAGGCACTGAAGGACAGAGCCAGCAGCCCCGGCTCAAAGTTGCCCGACCTCAGGAGTCTGCACCCTGCCGCTCTACCCTCTGCCCAGAAGGTGCACTCACAGCTCACCGCCCCCCCGGCCCCGCCGGCCTCCTCCGCACCCCACCAGCTCCCCTGGGCCAGGCCTCCGGGCCCCCAGCCCAGACCCTCCCTCCAGGCCTCAGCTGCCCACTGCCACCTGCTCTCGAGCTGGTGGTCCTCTGGGCCGGGCTGCCAGCATCCCCGCTGCTCCTCAGCACCCCCATTCGCCCCAGAACAGGGGCCCTTGCCCTCTGCCTCAGCCCTGAGCCTCCCCCCAGGGTGCCCAGCACCAACCTCAGAACCCCAGCTCTGCTGCATGTTTCCTTCCTTCCCAGCCAGCTCCTGGAGGGCTGCCGGGAGCCAGCGCCGCCCCTGCTGGCCCTGGCTGGAGGGCCGCCTTCGGGACCGCTCGGCTCCTCCCGGGCCCCAAACCTCCAACTGCTTCCCCGCTCCCCCAGCCCTCACCCAATGTGTGACTCCCCCACCCCAGCTCAGGCCTCCCCGGGGGGACACAGGCCAGGGCACACAGGCCGGGGGCTGGGAAGGAGGGCAGGCCGGGAGCAGCCTCTGTCAGCTACTGGCCTTGCCCAGGTGCCCCCTTCGGGCCCTTCTGCCAGCTCCCCATGGACAGCGCTGAGAGCGCCGCGGCTGCTCATCCCGAGCCGCCTCAGCCCTCGGCAGGCTGTGGGGAGGACCCGCAGAGGCCGGCCCGGCTACTCGCCTCTCACCCGGGCCCAGCGCGCCAGGAGGAAGCAGGACAAGGGCCCAGATGGAGACTCAGAGAAACCACTAACCGCTCGGCCCAACAGGAAAGTTTAATTCTAGATCACGACGGCGGGCGGGCGGGCTCGTGCTGGCCTGCGCCGCCCCACCCGCTGGGCGAGCCCTGCAGGGAGCGGCTGTCAGGCCTGCGGGTCTTGGTCTTGGCGCGCCCGCGGGCTGCGGGAACCTGATAGTGCCTGGCTGGTGGCGGCACGTGCCAGGTACAAAGGGTGTAACCGCCAACGAGGCGTTAGTCACTGCTTGTCGCGTGGGAAGTTCAAACACAGGTCTCGCCCCGACACCTGAGCCGGGCGTTGGGCCCAGAGCAGGCAGAGGCCCCAGGCCCGACCTCCGGGCCACCCGGCCCGCCCACCGGCGCGGGTCCTGGGGAAGGTCTCCCTGGTGCGGGCCGGGCCGGGTGCCGAGGCGGGTCAGGGGCCGGAGGCCCCCCTCACAGCAGGTTCCCGCGAGGATCTTCAGGCTTGACGCAAGCTGGGCCCTGGAGTTTTGCAGGTTTGACGATTTTAAGAAGCTTTCGAGACTCTTCCCAGGCGTGGGCCTGAGTGCGACAGCACAGGGCGCGGCCAGGCGGCCCTTCGGGAGCCCCTGGCAGCGGGCGCCCTGGGAGCACTGACCCGGCCGACGGGCGCAGGGCAGAGAGGCCGGCCCAGGCCCTTCCAGGAAGGCGGTTCGGCTGGGCCGGTGCCTGCGAAAGGGCGTGAGCCCGAGGCCCGGGGCTCAAATGGCTGCGAGCGGGAGCGGGGCAGTGGAGGCCAGGGGCTGCCAGAGCCAGGGGCTGAGCACACCAGCCCTCCCCAGGGCCGAAGGTCCCCGAGACAGAAGCTGCGGGACCTCGCCCGAAGGGGCTGGCAGAGGGTGACGCAGGCAGACGAGGGGTCCTGGGAGAAGGCGCAGCCCAGGCTCACACCGTAACGGGACAACCCATAGATCCCCAGCAGCCTCTGCGCGGCTCTGGCGACAGGTCACAGCCAGGCAGGCCGGCCTCAGGCTGCGCAGGGGGGCAGGTGCGATGCTCCCGCCACCTGGGGGAGGGTGGGCGGGCCGGGAGCCACATGCACACACACCCTCCACCCCCCCCACCCCTGTCAAATCGAGGGATGGCCGGGGAGCACCTGAGGCGGGGAGGGGCTGCAGCATGACCGCGCAGGACGGAACGGGGCCGCCAGGGCACAGACCCGAGGCCGGCCGGCTGCGTGGGGCTCCGTCCTCAGTGGGTTCTTTGCCTGGTCCTGCTGGTCTGCCAGCGCTGACGCCCGCACAGAGCCCGGGGTCCTGGGAGGGGAGCAAGGGGACCTGGGGATTCTGCCCCCATGGATCTGCCCCGGGGTGTGAGCGGCCCCTCTCAGAGCTGCGACTGTGGACCTGACTCGGTCTGGAGGGGAGCGTGGCCCTTTGAAATGAACGGCCATGGGGAAGGTCCCAAGCCGCAGATAAACTCGAGATGAGCGGCCCTGGTGCGTGGGGCTGCCGCCTCGGCACCTTCATCTTCCCTGCCCCGAGCAGACTGGGGCTCCGTGACAGAACTGGAAAGGCCTGCGGCCCTCTCCCTCAGCCAGATGCAAAGGGTTACCCATCAGGTTTCTGTTACTTTGTTGTTCCGGTTTATGGACACCAGACGTGCGGTGCCCTCCAGGGTCACTCGCTCCACACCGCCCTGGCCGGCCCAGCCCTCGCCGGCTCCGGCGCCACACACAGACGCGTCCCCGAACTGCCCGCAGCGCGCTGGGACACCTCATGCACCCCCAGTTCTGCATCTCCAAAGTGAAGGGCTCGCCCTTCCCTGGCCTGCGCCCCTCCGGCACACTGCGGGGGCACAGCATGGCCAGGCACCCCCTGCCCCTGGCCTTAGCAGCCCTGCAGCCCGGCTCTCCGCAGACTCTCCTCTGTCCCCACCACCCTGCTGGGGCTGCGCCTCATGTCTTGCTGGATGGGCACACTGTGGCCCCTTCACCACCCCTGACTTGATACAGCCCTTCTGCACCCTCTGCAACCACTGCCACCCAGCGGGGACCCCAGAAGCAGTCTGAACGGCCAACGCCACTTGCCAGCCCTGGGCCCAGCACCCAGGGTGAATTCAACCTGGGGCAAGGGCTCAGAGAAGGCCCAGCTCCCTGGCCAGCCGCCCCGCAGTCCCCCTGCACTCTCCACCAGCATGGGCACTCCCTCTGCCCCCCCTGGCCCTGGGGAGTGCCCTCCAAATTTGGGCAAGCCCCTCTCAGGTGCCCAGCCAAGGCCAGCGACCCTACCTCGGGGAGTGCTCCCACGCTGCGCCACAGTTGCCTGGAGCACCTCCCTGGGCAGGGGCCTCTGCAGCCTGGGCCCAATGGGGGGGGGGTCATGAGGCCAGAGGCTCTGGCTGAGCCTCGCGGCGAGGTTTCCTACTCTGCTGTCATCTCTACTTGGAAAGGGACACTGGGAACGCCCCGATCGCTGCTTCGGGTTGAAAGGGCTTCATTCTTCCGCATACGGGGCAGTCACGACAGGGCAGGTGTGCCCAGACAGGTGAAACGCTGGCAGGGCACAAGTCAAGAGCCTTTTTACAACTGGCCTCGTTGTCCTCAGCACTTGACTTGAAAACAAAAACCGCCTAAAAGCAAACACGTCAAAGGCGGCCTCTGAAGGCGGCTGGGACCACACAGCAAGAGGCCGGAGCGGCCCTCAGCACCAAGGTCACGCGGCCTGCAGGCCAGTCCTGGCAGGTGTGGCCGGCGAGTGCCAGGGCCCACCTGCAGGTGCACGGGCGACCCAGGGGGTGCTTTATTGTTGCTACGGAAAACCTGCCGAGACAGCTGATGGCTCCTGGCCGGAGGTCACCCTGAGCCCGGCGGCCTGGGCGCGGTGGTCACCGAGAAAGAAGCCCCGGCCCGTTCACGCCAGGCGGCGGGCACGCAGCGCGAGGCGGCAGGGCGCGGGCCCCGAGCACGGCACGGGCTTCTGGCCGGCCCTGGCCACGCCGCCGCGGGCGCAGCTCCCGGGCTGGCCGCTCAGGCGAGGACGTCGTCCCGGCAGCGGGCGGCGGCCGGGCCGGGCGCGAGGGCCCCGCAACGGCTTCCCCGTATCCGGCTCTCCCGGCCTTGGGGCGAGGAGCCTCGCGGGGGGGCCGCGGCCGGGCGCGCGCTGGGGCGGCGAGAGGCCCCCGCCCTGGGCAGGCCCGCGGGGCGCGGTCAGCACCGCGGGGGCCGCCCCGCAGACGAGGGCGAGGGGAGGTCGACCCCCGGGGGCCGGCGCCGCCCCGCCCGGGACCCCACCCGCCCGGCCGCCCCCCAGGGCGCGACCAGCCGGAGGTGCCGCCGGCCGCGGGGCGGCGCGGGCGGGGCGGGCGGGGGCGCCGCGGGGCCACCTGCCGCCTCGAGCCGGGGCGCGTCTCCGGGTCCGCGGACACCGCGCGCCCGGACCGAGCGGCGCGATCCGCCGCCGCCGCCCGCTCCGCGCCCCGCCCCGGCCGCGCCCCCGCCCGCCGCGGACGGAGGCCCGCGCCCCCCGCGCCCCCCGCGCCCCCCGCCGCGCACCCACCTCCGCCCGCCGCCGCCGGCCCTCCGCTCGCCGCGCCGCTCTCCACTGCGCACGCGCGCGCGCGGCCCCGCCCCCGGGCACGCGCCGAGGGCCCCCCCCGCGGGTCTCGGCGCGGCGGGCTCTGGGCATGCGCGATGCCGCCCGGCAGCCGGCCCGCGCGGAGGGGCGGGGGCGCGCGCAGAGGGGCGGGGGCGCGCGCGGGGCCGGCGGGCGCCGGGGCCCCGAGAACCCCCTGGCGAGTCGCGCGTGGAGCCGGGGACGACGTCCCGTGCCGAGCACGCGGAGAAGGGCAATGGGGGTCCCGGGGCGGGGCCGCGCGGAGGGGCCGGCGGCCGAGGGACGGCCGGGCGGGGGGCGGGCGGGGGCGGGGCGGGGCACTGGGCTGGGGACCGGGCGGGGGCCGGGCGGGGGGGGCGGGGGCGGGGGCCGGAGACCGGCCGGCGGAGGCGCCCGGCCACCCGCGCCCCCGGGCCGCAGCACCTCGGGGCCACAGCGCCTCCCGGGGAGTCACGGCGCGCTCTGGCGGACCACGGAGCCCGGGTCGGGGGCGCTCGCAGGCCGCGCCCGGCCAGGCACTAGAGCGGGAGGCCTGGACCCGCGGGGAGCGGCCACGGGGCCCCGGGAAGGGAGACGCCCCTCCCGGGACCATGGCTTCACGGGGCACGGTGGCCTTGGGGGCCGCCCCGCAGGGGGTTCACAGCGCCCTGTGGCGAGGTCGGAGAGCGCGGGGCGGATACCAAGGAGTCCTCTGGGGAGGACGGCGGCCCAAGGCAGCTCAGAGCAGCTCCTGGGAGCCCCCCATCCTCGGCGGGGGCTCGTCGCGGCGTCTGTCACCCTCCGCTGGGCGGGCGCGGGGCGCGGAGGGAGGCGCCGGCAGGGGCGGGCGGGGCCCAGATGGCTCCGGCGCCCGCGGCCGCCCTTGAGGAGCTGGCGCCGGGAGGTGGGCCCGGCCCCGCCCCGCCCGCCCCAGGCCCCCAGCCCGCCCCCCGCCCGGCGCCCCCCGCCGCCCGCCCGGCCCCCGCCCGGCCCGCGGACTCAGGCCGGCCCGCAGCGCCCCCGCCGCTCCCGCCGCTGCAGCCTTCGCAGGCGCCGCGTCCACGCGTCCCTCCACGGCAGCACCAAGCTCCCGCGGGTGGCCCTGAGCCCGCGCCCCCGGCCCCCCAGACCCCCGCCCGCGGCCCCCGGGCCGCCCCCCAGCAGCAGGTAGCGGCGCCCCGGCCGCAGGCGCGGGCAGCCACAGGCCGCGTCCCGCGCGGGCACCCACAGCGCGCGGCTCCCGCGCCGCGCGCGCTCCCCGCCGCTCCGGAACACGGCGAGCACCGCCACCGGGAAGCGCGTCCACGGCCCGCGCGCCTCGCCGCGCGCGCCCACGGCCACCAGCACCGCTGCGGGAGAGGAGGGGCGGGCTCAGCGGGGCGGGGCGGGGCGGGGCGCGGGGCCGCGGCTGGGAGCCCGGGACAGGGCGCAGGAGAAAGATGGGGGCGGGGGGCAGGGCCCTGGGGCTGAGGGGCCTGAGGGGCGCCAGGACCCGGGCGAGGGGCAGGCGGGCGCCTACCGTAGCCTTTGCGGCAGAACTTCCTCAGGCTGATGCGGTGACTGCCGCGCGCAGGTTTGCAGTGTGAGGCGCAGTCTGGGGGTGAGGGGGAGGCCGCGCTGATCCCCACCCGGAACCCCGCCCTCCTTCCCGCCTCGGGCCCACAGCCCCTTGGGGCAGGGGCAGGCTGTCCAGCGCCCGGCCGGCCCACTCACCCTGGGGCTGCCCGGGAGTGCTCTCTTCCGTGGGTCCAGGGACAGGGGTCTCTGTGGAGGGGCGAAGCAGGCTGCGCTCGGGGGCAGGGCCGTCTGCAGGCCCAGGGACAGGTGGGGAGCAAAGGGGGCCGCGGTGGCCACGCGGGACCGTCACTCACTGACACAGGGCGCCACGGGGGAGCGGCTCTGCTGGAAGCCGGGGGCGCAGCGGTTGCAGGTGAGGCCCGCGACGCCGTCCTTGCAGGGGCACTGGCCTGTGGTCTGGTTGCAGGTTTTGCCGGCAGCGCCAACTGGGTGACAGTCGCAGGCTGAGGACAGAGGCGGGGGGTGGTCAGAGTCCGTGGGGTCCCAGGAAGCCGGAGGCCGTGCGGGGCTGGCGGCAGGCTCACCCCTGCAGGCGCGGCGGTCGCTCGGGGCGCGGCCGGGGTCGCGGTAGAAGCCCTCCCGGCAGTAGTGGCAGTGGCGGCCGGCCGTGTTGTGCCGGCAGTTGAGGCAGACGCCCCCGCTTCTGCGGCCAGACAGTCGGTACAGCTCCATGTTGAAGCGGCAGCGGCGGGCGTGGCCGTGGCAGGAGCAGGCTGCGGGGAGCGAGAGGTCAGGGAGGCCGACCTGGTCCTAGGGCCCCCGGCACCCCTCCAAGGCCTCACCGAGACAGGCGTGGGCTTCCCGGGCCGTCGCCCTCTGCCAGGGCCGGTCACAGTAGAAGGGCTTGCAGCGGCCGCAGTCCGGGCCCTCGGTGCCGTGCCGGCAGTCACAGATCAGCTGGCCGCGGGCGTCCGGCGCGCACCGGGAGGCGTGCCCGTTGCACTTGCAGCGCCCACCCACCTGCAGCTCAGTGGCTGAGTAAAAGTAAGGCGCGGCGGCCATGGGGTCCCTGGTGCCCCCGGGGTAGGCCGGCCTGGTGAGCACTATTCGGATGTCCGTGGCAGTCACCCAGTCTTGGAGCACGGGGCTGCTGTCCAGATCCAGGCCTGGTGGGCTGCCATCCCGCACACTGAAGGCCAGAAGGCCACCGCCATCGGGCTGGGCCTGGGGCTCCGGAAAACACAGGGCTTCAGGCCCGGGGCCAGCGGGGCCACGGACGGGGGCGGGCAGGCGGCCATAGTCTGGGCCACAGCGGGAGGAGAAGAAGCCCAGGGGGGCCCAGCTTCGGCCGTGGTCCTGCGACTTGAGCAGCACCACCGAGGCTGGGGGTGGCGAGCAGAAGCGCAAGCTCACAAACACCAGCTCGAAAGCCTTGCCCAGGGCCACAGTGAGGGTCACGTTGAAGGGCGCATGCGTCAGCGAGGCCGATCGCCAGCACAGAGGGCCCGCAGAGCCCCCCGCAGAGGTCAGGAGGGCCGCGGGGTGTGCCCGCCGTGCGTCCGAGGCGTCGCAGGCCCGAGTGGCTGGTCGGCCACACGTGCTGGATGCCAGCACCTCCCGGCCCAGAGCCGCGTTGACCAGGCCCGGGATGCAGCTGCGGGGCGCACCTCCCTCGTCATGGCAGGGGTCAGCAGGTGCCGGAGGCCCCTGGCTCAGCACGGCCAAGAGGGTGCCAGCCATCAGCAGCAGACACCAGGGCCAGGTGGGCATGGCGGGAGCCAGGGAGGCCCAGCAGCCAGGGGCACCGCACCGCTGCCCTTGGGGAACAACAGCCAGGGTCCAAGGCTCTGCGCGCCAGTGGGGCACGCCAAGCACCGGCGGCCCCGGCCGGGGCCCAGAGGTGGGAGCAGCCAAGGGCAGCCCAGGAGCAGCAGCAGAGATGTGGGAGCGCCCTCCCGCTGGGCCCGAGCGGTGACAGGCTCTGCCCCGTCCCAGTGTCCCGCTCACGGAGGCCCCACCCGCGCTGCGCCCGCACTCATCCGCCGCACTCACCCGCCGAGGGCCAGGCGGAGCAGGTCTCCCGGCCTCCCGGCCTCCGGGGAAGGGCCGTGGGCGGGCGGGGCCTGGGGCGCCCCTGGCCGCCTCCTCCCGGCTGCAGTGAGGGCGGGCGAGCTGTGCCAGGAGAGGGTGGGGGGCGCAGCAGGCGCAGGCCTGGGCCCAGCCAGGGGCGGGGCCACTTGGTCGGGGAAGGAGGGAGGGGAGGGGGCCTCGTCGGTGGAGCTGGAATCAGAAGCAGATTCAGACACAGGCTGGGCCAGCGGGCCGGGCAAGGGGGCTGGGAGGCCGGGGGAGGGGCCTGGGAGCCTGGAATGCGCTGCTGGCGGGAGGGGGCCGGAGGGGGTGGTCAGCCACACAGGCCGTGGGGGACCACCCAGCTGGGTCCCTGGCCCCGAGGCCTGGCGTTGACTGCTCGTGGGGCCTTGCCACGTGGGGGTCGGCGGCCGCCTCCTCCAGGCACGGCAGGCAAGCCGCACAGGAGAGGTGGAGGCTGGGGTGGGGTGCCCCTGCGTCCCTCCAGGTACACTCTGGGCAAGCGTGCGCTTGTAGGCAGTGGTGGGTGACCCCCCCCAAGGCAGGGGTTTGCCTCAGGAGAGAGAGAACCCAGGACTAGGCTGCAGTCCCGTCTGGAGTCCCAGCCCACCAGTCCGGCCGCGTGGTCCAGGCCCCCAACCTGCATGGCCTCACCGGCAGGCGCCTGTTACGCAGCTTTTCAGAGCTGTGGGAACCTGATAAGCGGGCTTGGCCGTGGATGTCGCCAGGGGTTCAGCAGACGCGAGCCCCTCCTGCCATGTGTTCCTGGAGAGGTGACCCCAGGGCTGGCCGGAGCTCTCCAGGGGCGAGGCTGCTGGCCCCACGCGGCAAGGCAGCACCTGTGCCAGCCTGAATCGCTGCACCGCCAGGTGCATGGGCGTAAAGGGCCCAGCAGGGAGGTGTGCAGTGGTGTGGGGGGTTCTGCCCTCCAGGGTCCCTTGGGGCTCAGGGACTCTCAGGAAGTGGGTCCCCAGTCAAGGAGTAGAGCGTGGGGTGTGAGCCAGGGAGGGCGTGCTCATGGCCTCCAGCCAGACCCCAGCGCCTGGCCCACAGGCACAGCTTGCACCTGCTGGGGTGAGCCCGCTATAGCCCAGCGACCCCGGCCAAGAGGGACCAGGGATTGCTCTGGACAGGGAAACGCTCCCCACCCCAGCCCAGGTCTATGGTGAAAGGGACTGAGCACCCCGGAAAAGACTGGGCGCTGACGCCTCATAGACCGGCCCTGCCTTGGGGCAGCTCTGAGGCCTGATGCTTCAGAGGAGCGGGAGGTGGGTGGGTGTCCAGAGCTGGCGCCCTGCCTGGGCAGAGACGCTGTCGGGAGGACTCGTGAGGATGGAGCGAGGCAGAGGACTGCGTTGTTTCCCGAAGGAGGCAGGCAGGCCCCGGACCGTCCAGGGTAAACTGAGGGAGAAGAGCAGGCGGGCCTGACCTGGGAGGAGCAGGAAGACGGGGATGGGCCCTGGCGGCCTCCCTCGGGCCTGCAGGAGGTGAGGGGCTGATGGGATGACGGGAAACGGGGAGGACCGAGCGAACAGCCCAGAGGGCCCAGGGGTCCCTCTTTGCAGGAAGCTGTGGGTGCCCTGCGGAGTCGGTGCCCCTGCCCAGCCCTCGGCTCAGGACGTGCCCAGGCGGCAGGCGCAGCCAGGTGTGAGCAGGGGCGGCGCTGGGGCGGGTCAGGTTCGGAACCAGCACTCCCCGGCCACCCTCTTCAAGGTCCTTCTGTTTCAGCCTCCAACCCCCTTCTCCACGTGGGAGGGCCCAGTGGGCGCGCGGCACGGGCCCAGCTGGCGGCAGGAGGCGGGTCTGGCCAGCTGGCTGCCGAGGGAGGAAGGCCCAGGCCTGTCGCTGTGTCCCCGGGCCTGAGCGCGTCCCCAGGGAACGCCCGGCTGTCTCTGGGCCGAGGGAGGCGAGCCAGCAGCCTCACCCACCCCGCCAGCCTGGCGCGCCTGGCCCTGCGCCTCCCGAGTCGGGGAGGATCTGTGGGGCATCTGGTGGCTTCTGGGCGGGTGGGAGCAGGCGCCGGGGCTCAGCCGCGGAGGCCGGGCCCCCTCCAGGGAAGGTGGGCCTGTACTCCCACGGCCCCGGGGAGCCGGGCAGATGGCGTGCCGAGCTGAGGGGCTCTCCTCCCAGCCCCCGCCCCGACAGCCGCTCCCGCTGGGCCCAGCCACCTGCCGGGCGCCCCCTGGCCCTGCCCCTCCTGCTGGCACCTAAGAGGCTCTGCCTTCCCTCCCCTCCCCTGCTTGCCTGGGTCGGGGGGCGGCGGCCAGGCCCTGCACGCCCCCACCCGCGTGGAGCCTGTGGGTGGGGTGGGAAGGCACCGAGGGCCCTAAGGGACCTGAGATCTTGCCCACAAACGCCGATGACCGAAACCTGCGGCCGCACCAGGCCCTGCTGCCCTCGCTGAGGCAGGGACAACCCGCGGCCACGGGTCTCTGCCTCGAGGGGCATCCACCCCGCCCGGGCGGGAGGGCGGCCAGGTCCGCGTCCTGCCGCCGCCCGCACCCCCGCGACGCCCGGAAAGGGGAGCGGGGCAATGGGGGGGGGGCGCTGGGCTCAGGCCCCTCCCCGCAGCCCCCTCAGACTCCGAAAAGGCGGGCTTGGGCAGGGGGCGCGCTGCGCCCAGCCCAGGCCGTGGGGCGCCCCGCTGCCGCCGGCGGCCGGGCCGCCGAGGCTGCAGGGGGCTCGACAGGCGCCACGGGCGGGGGCGCTCACGCCCCAGACGGGGGTCGCGCCCTGGGGGGCTCCCGCACTCGGGGCCCGGTCAGAGCGGATGGGTCGGGACGCGGTGAAGCAACGCGAAGCCCGGGATGGTTTGGCCCCTCGCCTGGCTCGCCCGAACTCGGGAGGGGTGGGCGGGCTTCCCCCGGGGCAGCTCCCCCGCCCGCTCCGGGCGTCTGCTGATGGGGCCTCCCCAGACCTCCCAGGTGAGAGCCGCGCACCCGCCGAAAGCCCCGGGTGCACAGCAGCCGGCAGGACCCCACCAGCACCAGCGCCGGCCCAGAGGTGGGTCTGCGCCTCCTGCCTGGGGGCCTGCGGCTGGGCCCGGCCCAGGAAGAGGGCACACGACAGGTGCCGGGCTCACTGGGGGCTCAGGCTCCTCCAGAGCCAGGCATCGGCTGGAGCCCGGGGGCAGCACAGGCGCTGTGGGGCTGGGTGCCCCTTCCCTGGGCAGCAGGCAGAACTGCCCATCTCCTGCAGGCCCCTGGTGTAAGGAGGCCCCCGGGCTTCTAGGCTCCGCACCGGGGGCCCTCACAGCCCACCACCCCAGGCCTGCTGCTCCGGCGGGCTCTTGGGGGACCTGGCTGCTCCGCGAGCCAGCCGCCTCCCGTGTTTGGGCCTTGGTGGGGCTGGCGCTCCATCACCAGTGCCCCAGCGCCAGGACGGGACTAGGACCCACGGGGCCTGCAGCCTCTCCTTCATCTGCCCCAGCCCCAGGGCGACAACCCCTGGCCCCCCATGACGGCAGGGGCAACACGGAGAATTGAGACTCTGCCCTAAAGTCTTTTTTTTTTAAAGATTTACTTATGCATACAAGAACTGGGGTACAGGCCAGAGTGTAGGGGTGAGAGGATTCACCAGAAACAGGCGGATCTACTGAGATACACTGCCGAGGGGAGCAGCGGGGGAACAGGCGGGGTCTGCTGAGCCATGTGGGCAGCGCCCTGGCCGGGGTCTGTGGATCAGACCCAGGCTGCAGTGACCGCTGATAGCTCGATAGTGCTAAGACTTAACCCCTGCACCACCAGGGAGGCTCTTGGCCCTGAAGTGTTAATGGCTTTGAAAGAGCTAAAACAGGTAGCTGAGAGGCCTGCGGGTCTCAGGAGGCCGCAGCGAGCACCATCAGCAGGTATACTGCCCAGAAAAGGGCCTGAGGTCCCTCAGGAGGTGCCAAGGCCGCCCCACAGAAGCCCTCTCCCCAGGGAGCCAGTGGGATTCCCCAGCCAGAGTTCCAGGCAGGGAGGGGCTTAGGGTCTGCAGGGTCTCAGTCAGCGGGCGGGTCCCACAGGACAGACAGGAAGTGCTGGCCCCCCTCGCAGAGCAGGCTGTGCACGGCCCGGCACAGCACCAGGGGCGGCTCCGGTGCCCTCACCAGCGGGAGGAGCTCCTCCATCAGGACCTAGGGTGTGCAGGGCACAGGCCTCAGGCAATCAGACCAGGGCCAGACAGGCCCAGGGGGAAGGTGCCCCTAGGGTGGGGTGTAAGGCCACCGAGTTCCAAGCCCTGCCCCCCAGCTGCCCTGAGTCTGGCACGAGCCCACGGGCACCCAGTCCCCCTCAGCACCCCTTAGTCTCTGGGAAGGTGCAGGCAAGCTCTGGAAGCTGAAACCTCAACAGGCCCCAGAATCTGTGTCTTCATGTGGTGGCTCCCGTCCCGCCCCCCTGCCCTGCTCGGGAAGCACCTTCTCCAGGTGTATCTGCTGCTCCAGCGTGGCCACCCGCAGCTGGAGGGCTGCCAGGGTCTGCAGCTCCCTGGTGCTCGAGTACAGCAGCAGCGGGGGGCTCCAGATGGGGTCTGCGCCCCCCCCACAGGGGGCTGGGGCGCTGAAGGGGCTCCCCTCAGGCCATGACTCCAGCTGCTGCTCCGTCACTGCTGTGGAGGGGGATGTGGCCCAATGGGGCAGCTGCGGCTCACCCCTCCAGCCTCCAGGGGCCGCAGTCTCTGCCTCCTGGGCCAGTCCCCTGCCAGCACCTCTGACTCCTGTACTACTGGGCTACAGTCCCCTGCTCCTGCCACCCCAACTTCAGCATGGTTCAAGCGGGGGGGGGTCTTACCCACGCGCAGCTCCTGCAGCCTGTGCAGACACTGCCCAGCCAGGGCCTGCAGCCCCTCCAGGGTGAGCAGGCTGCGGTACTCCTGCGTCCAGTCTGCCGGGTCTGTGCAGAGGCGGGGGTGGGCTGGTCCCTGCCAGTCCTGAAGCCCATCCCACGCCTGACTTCCCACTCCCAGGGCGCCCTGACCTGCCACGAGCTCTTCCCTCATGCGCAGCTTCAGTAGCGAGCAGGCCTTCTGCAGGCGCCCCACTTCTGCCTGCACCTCCTCGGTACTGAGCCCCGGGCCCCTGGGGCTGGGCCGGCCTGACTGGACCGGTCAGGAAAACTCCGCTATGGACAGGTCCCGCCCTCCCCGAAGGAGGGCTCTTTCTGGAGCTGCTCCTCAGCCCCGCAGGCCTGGAGGCAGGGTCCGCCCCCTCCCCAGGGCCTGGCGAGGATACTGAAGCCTGCATCTTCTGGAGGAACTGTGCTTTGGCGGTGGCGGCGGCACCTGCAGAGTCACTGGGCTGGGTAGAGCTGAGCTGCGCCCATAGGCTGGGAGGCACACGGGGGCCCAGGAGCCAGGGGGAGGTGGTTACCCCAGCTGCCGGGGCTGGGTCTCAGGAGGTAGGCGAGGGTCGGGGAGGGGCCCCAGCCTAGGAGTCAGACTCTGCTGAATGCCAGCGGGGGTCTAGGAGCCTTGGGGGCCGAGAGGACACTGTCCACTTTTATGGGACAGACCTTGCTGCTCTGGGAAACACCAGGAGAGAATTCAAGGGAGCAGGGAGAGGCCGGGGCAGTGCTGGCCAGGAAGAATGACAAGAGCTTCTGGGAGCCCACAGCGCCGGCACCAAGCTGCAGGCCTAGGCCACGCACAGGGAGGACACAGGGCCTCGAGACGCTGTCTGTGAGCGGCTGGACTGGGCACCTGAGGTGGCTGGCGGTCCCAACTGGGTGGGCTCTCAACATGCAGTGTCCCCTGCCCCCCGGAAAGAAAGCAGAGGCCCCCGGGAAAAGCCTCCCCAGCCCAGCCCAGCTGGTGGGACGCCCTGGCCTCCTTGTTGTCCCCAACCCCCAGCGGCCCCCCACTGCCACCCAGCCGCGAGACAGCCTCACCGGGAATTCTGAGCAGCCGCCTTCCTGAAGGCCACGGGCAGCTGCAACAGGGTCCTGCAGGGAAGCCTGGGTCAGGGGGGCTCCAGCCTCCTTCTGGGGGCTCAGGCCCTGTTCCTTGCTCAGGCCAGAGTCAGGGATGTGCTGTGGCACCTGCCCCCCGGACTTGGAGAGGCAGGGGTGCCAGCCCGGCACAGAACACAGGCACCTCGAGCAGGGCCAGGCTCTCCGGGGCTGAGCTGGAGCCCTCGACTGCGAGGGCCAGAGGACACGCCGCTGGCAGCAGAGGAGAGAGCAGGTGGGCCCTTGCGCGTGGCAGGTAGCCCCTGCGCTGCTGCTGTGCCTGCTGCCAGCTGCCAGGCTCGAGGCTCCCCGGCCGGCGTCCAGCTCAACATCCTGCTGTCACCCTGATTCCTGGACTCCTGCTGCCGCCAGGGAGTGAGGCGGGGCCCGCCAGTGAGAGTTTGGGGCACCTACCCCTTCTCCTTGAGCGTGAAAGCTTCTAGGGCCGGCGAGGCTGTCTGTTGGTCCCTGAGGGCTGGTGGGGGCCGGGCGGGTCTCCCCACGCCGGGCTGCCCCCTGGCTGACAGAAGCCGGCGCTCGGATGTCGTGACAGGCAGCCTGGTCTGCAGGATGCCCCTGGGGGGTCTCGCCTCTGGAGCTCCGCTGCCATGGGGGCCTGAGGCCCTGGGTGGGGCAGAGGCCGGGGAGGCGGGAGCCGCAGCCCCGGACCCAGGCTTCAGGCAGGGGCCCGGGTCCCTTTCTCCAGCCTTAGAGACGCCCTTCCGGACGCGCGCGGCCCTCTCCAGGGCGCGCGTCAGCAGCTCCAGCTCCTCGAGGTCTCGCGGGCTGGGCGCGGCCCCTGCGAAGGCCAAGAGTCCTGCGGCGGCCGCCCGCTGTCCGCGAGGGGCGGCTGCCACCGGTGCCGCGCGCAGGCCAGGCGGAGGGCCGCGGGCCGCGGCTTACCTGCAGGCGAGTCCTCCTCCTCCGCTGCGGGGCCCGGGCCTGGCTCCGGGGCCGCGGCTTCCGCGGGCTCCCTGGGAAGAAACACGGAGGCCGCGGCTCGCCGGGGGCAGGCCCGGGCCCAGGGGACCCCGCCGGGTGGCGCCTCCGAGCCGCGCGGCCTCGCAGCCGGCGGGAGGCCGGGCCGGGCCCGGGTTCGCGTACCAGGCCCGCAGCAGCCGCCGGCAGACGCGCAGGCTCCGCTCCAGCTGCCGCTGCCGCTCGGCGCAGGCGTCCAGGGCGCCCCGGAGCTCGGCCAGCAGCCTGGGAGGGACGCAGCGGCGGGTCAGCCCGCAGCCCAGCCGGGCGGGCCCCGCCGCCCGCCGCCCGCCGCCCGCCGCCCGGGCCCCACCGGCGCGAGCAGCCCGCGGGCAGCATGGACGCGGCGGCCGCTCCTCGGATTTGCCGCCGGCGGAAAGCCCCGCCCCTTCCTGGCATGATCCCGCCCCTTCCGGGCCGCCTTCCAATCCCCGGTCCGCCCCCAAGCCCAGCCCCGCCCTAAACCCGCCCCACCCTCGAATCCCCGCCCCGCCCCCAAGCCAGCCCTGCCCTAAACCCGCCCCGCCCCCACGCCCCGCCCCGCCCCCGGGCTCCCGCGCGCCGTCGGGCGGGGCTGGGGGCCGCAGGCCGCGCCCGCCCTCCTCCCGCTGGCCCCGGCGGTGGCCTTGCCCTGGGCAGCGAAGGTGCCCTGAGGCGGCCGGGAGCCGGGAAGCCTGTTGCCTGGGAACAGCCCGGAGGGCGGCGGCCCGCGTGGGCGGGGAGAGGCGGGAGGGTTGGGGGCTTCGGGACACCGGGTGGGCGCCTGGGCAGCGCCGTGCAGCCAGGACACGGCCGATGGGGCAGTGGGCCCTGGAGGGGCGGATGTGCCAGACCCCGGCCGGCGAGGGCTGGGAGCTGAAGCCCCGGGGGTGGGGCAGCGGAGCCCGTCCCCAGAGCCACTGGAGGCTGGCCTGGAGCAGGCGCCCATGGGGGCAGGACAGGACCCCGGGGACACCTGGGGCATTGGGGGCCAGTCCCTAGCTGGTGGGAGTGGTGTGGAAGGCAGGGCCCCAAGGGATGTGCACAGGCCGGGGTGGGAACCGGGCCGCAACCCAGCATGAGGTTCTGTGAGCCCGGCTCTGCCCGCAGGCACGGGTCGCCGCTCAGGAAGACACGTGGCACATGTCGCTGTCCTCATCACATTTAATCCTCACAACACCCCTGTGAGGTAGGTACCACGGCCCATCTTACAGATGAGGAAACAGGCTCTCGTGCCCTGGTGCAGTGCCGACGGGAGAGGTTTGCCGTCCCCACACCCAGGTCCCCTCACCCCCCATGCCCACTGGGGGGTCAGAAGTCTCCGTCCCAAAATGACAGCTACCACGAGACATCAGAGAGCGCGCACATGCACACGCGCACACACACACATGCACGCATGCACACGCGCACGCACGGACACGCGCAGGCACCCGGAAAGCCACCGTCCACAGGACCACCGTGTCCCGGCAGTTCTGGTTCAAAAACATTTGGGGACATCCCTGGCCAAGTGGATCTGGCATTTCAAGAGGAAATAAAACTGACAGCAGGTGCCAGTACTGACCCCTAGGAAGGGGCAGGGGCAGGTTTTGGGGGCCGGGGGTCCCTGAGGCTGGCTCGTCTTTACACACCAGGGGAGGGGAGGGCAGGGCGCTTCCGTCCAGCGAGCCTGCGGAGCCCGAGATGGCTGTCCCGCCTGAGACGCCTGCTCTCCTGGCTCAGCGCCCTGGGAGCACAGTTGCAAGTGACAGCCCTGGGGCCTGGAGCCAGGTTTTTCTTTAGTTGGGTCTAAACAATGTTAAGGATCTGTAGGCTTTTTTTATTCAGCATCTTCTATTCAAAACACACCTTTGCTCTCCTCCCGGAAGAATGAAGGATGGACACGAAAACAGGAAAAGAAGTGGCCAGAAATTCAGTGCACGGAGACATCGACACAGACAGTCGGGGACAGACAGACCACAGTGGGGGGCACACATGCGCTACGGGGAGCAGGCCCGCGGAGGAGGGGCGCCCCAGGGCCCAGGCGGCCAGGGCCTGCACCCAGCCGGGACAGGAAGCAGGACAGACACGGAGAGGACAGAAAGATCTTGCTAGGGGCGGCAGGATGGTGCGGAGGCTGGGCTCCCAGAGGACCCCGGCTTCCCATTCTGACCAGACATTCTGAAGGGTCATGTGATGCCCCAAGACAGACACCTGGCACCCTGGGCACGTGCGCAGGTCTCCAGGGCCCGCCGAAGGCTCACAGCTGTAGGAAGCCCATGTCCACCTCCCCCTCCACGCTGCGGGGGGGCAGGTTCTTCCTCTTCACCCGGCGCGGGGGGAGACTGCCGTCCGGGGAGCCTGGGGAGCGACACTGCAGACACGACTTCCTGGCAGGGTGGTGGCAAGGCCGGGCGCATGAGTCGCTGCCCGGGGACGGCGCTGAGGTAGGTGGCAGGGGACTCCCAGAGCCGCTGACGGAGGAGTACCCTGAGGTGGTGAGGTCCCTGCCCGGTTCCCTCCTGCTGTAGGCAGGCGGCTGGGGCTCCAGGGAGGTAGGCATCTGGGTGCCCGACCCCAAGGCGGGCAAGTCTGGGCCTCCCCCATCTTCTGGGCAGGCCTCCTCGTCGCTGGAGTCCTGGCAGCAGTGCTGCTCGGGGTTCAGGTAGACCACGGTGACGTCAAGCACACCACTGGGGGCCGTCACTGCGGGAGGGGGCGGTCAGGGTCAGCGCAGCCCCGGCCCAGCCAGGGCCGGCTCCCAGGCGCCCGGCCACCACCTTCCCGTCCCCCGTGCCGCCCTCCTCCAAGCCGCCAGCATGACTCGTGGGAGGGCACGGAAGCCAGTGGGGGAGGCCTGGAGGCAGCAGGGAGGCCTGGCTGCTCTGGGGATGCGTGGGCAGAGCCCCAACAGCAGGTCACACAATGCTCTGAGAGCCCCTGCGCCCCCACGCCGGGAGCCCTCACCCCCACCCTGCACTCACCATCGCCCTCCTTCTCGCCCTCGCTCTCCTGGTCGCCCTCATAGCCCGAGCAGTAGTCCAGGCTCCAGTCCAGGAAACTGCCCAGCAGGGTGTCCTCCTGGCTGGACAGCTCTGCAGTGGGCGTGGTGACGAAGCTGCCGCGGTCCTCGTGGGGGCCGTTCTCCCGCTTCCTGCCGGGGGGAGGGACCCGGTGACAGGCAGGGGTGCGGGGGGCTCTCCAGGAGGTGAGGCCGGGAGACCCAGGCGGGCCCAGGAAGGGCCCCCAACAGGCCGGGGTCAGGCCTCCCTGCACGGAGGGTGCCCCTGGGGGCTGGGGTGATGGCCAGGCCGGGATACTAACCGCTTGGTTCTCCTTCCGGAGGGGGAGCTGAGGAAGGCCTGGATCTCCCCGGCGCTGAGGAAAGACGCCGGCTCAGGGCTCTCGTGTTTCACGCCCAGGGCCGCACACACCTGGCCGAAGCTCAGCACCTGAGAGGGAGCAGGTCAGGGGGGATCTGGGGACGCACCCGCCCACCTGGCACCCCAAGCGGCAGGGCGGGACGCACCTCCTCCTGGCTGATCTCCCCATAGCGCTTGTCCTCAAACCGCTGCTTCACGGCCGTCAGGGAGACCTGTCTGTAGTCCTTGGGGGCATCGTCGTGGAAGCTGCAGGCGGAGAACATGTCAGGGGGTGGGAGGGCACAGCATGTGGGTGCCCCGGCCCCAGGACTCGGGGTCGGCATCCCCCCAGCAGCTAGGCCCGCAGCTGTAAGGGGACCAGCAGCCCTGCCTGGGCTGCACCCCAGCTGTGCCAGCTGGCCAGCATGCTCACGGCACGGTGCCACGGCCAGGGGCCCAGGTAGCAGGGTCCCGGCACTAAAGTTGTCCAGACGGGCACGCCAGGGGAGGAGCACCGCCTCCCGCTGAAAGGTGAGGGTGCGGCTTCTTTTGAGGGCAGTTAACACGCTGGCCGGGCGCGGACCCACCCGCCGAACTGTAGCCAGATGAAGTGTAACCTGTATACACGTTTCCAATCTGTCTGGCTTGAAGTGAAAGGAACTCAGGATAGCTATGGGGTGGGGAGAGCCAGCAACTGCGGGAGCCAGGGGCGGGCACTGGCCATGAGGTCGGGCCCGTGGCGGGGGAGTGCGGGGCGCCCGGGCTGTGGCTGGAGTGTGAGCATGTAGGGGGTGGCACGTGGGTCATTAAGGGGCCAGTGCCTTTCTCAGTTCCAGCCTGTCCTGGGAGGGAGACGTGGGAGCCACAGGTCCCGAGGTGGCCAGGGAGTGGCCACGGCAGCAGTGGCAGAGCCTTGAGGGCCGGGGGGGGACGGAGGATCAGGCACAGCCAGGCTGGCCCGGGCTCTGCTGGAACGACTGGGGCCTGGTCCACCCTGAGGGCCAACCGGGACGCACGCCGGGAAGAGGGGCCTGCCCTGGACCCCCCGCAGGGATAGCCTGGGCCCTGGAAGCCACAGGTGAGGCAGACGGAGGAGGGCCCTGGGCCGGGAGGATGGAGGCCGGCCTCAGCGGGTGTGCGGGGGCCCTGTGAGCGGCCCCGAGCCAGAGAACAGCTCGTGCTCCGTGGAAAGAAAGATCCCCTGGTCCATGGGATGGGGCAGGGCCCCGGGACGTCCTGCCTCCTCAGCTAGGATGCGGGAGGGGCTCAGGGGCCCTGAGGGGCAGCGGGGGCTCACCACTTCTGATGCAGGCTCAGGACACAGGGCGTGAGGTCTTCACAGGAGAACCCAGTAAGGTCCCACAGGCGCGTGGGCCAGGGCTGTGCTGGGGGGGAGAGGAGGCAGGAATGGGGGTGCTGTTCCCGCCGGCTCCTGCCCGCCTGCCCCCAGGTTCCCAGTTTTCTGGAGCCCGGGTTGAACACAACCCACACACAGGCACCCGCCCCACCCTGTGGAGGCCGGTCCTGGTCCAGGGTCTCTTGCCCAGGTGACAGACGTGCGCCCTCTCCTCCCTCCACCAACACCGGTGTGCACAGATCCCCGAGCCAGGCACCAAGGGGCTCCTTACTCTGGCCGTGCGTCAGCCTGGCTAGCAGCAGGGCAGCAGCGGCCAGGCGGGCGGGGGCGTAGGCGGCCAGGCCGGTGTGCAGCAGGGACAGCTCACACAGGAAGCTGCACAGGTGCTGGGTACGGGGGGCCTCAGGGACCAGCGCCAGCAGGACCTCCTTGTAATCCACCACGGTGGGGACCTGAGTTAGGGGGCGACGTGGGGGCTCAGCAGCCACCGACTGGAAGGCGGGGTCTCACCAACAGCACCCCACAAGCCAGCCCAGCCCCGGGGCATGCAGGGAGCCCCGCTGGCCCCTCTAGCCGTGGAGCGGCCCCATGGGGGGGGGGCGCCTTACTCGGATCCTGCCCTCCAGGGCGGAGATGACCTCGCCCATCATCCGCACCAGGTCCTCGTACTTGTACGTGTTGTCCGTGAGCCACACGGCCTCCCGGATGGTCAGGATCTCTCTGCTGATAAACCTGCAGCGAGGGCAGGGCTCAGCGCCGAGACCCCTGGGGTCCCTGCAGGCTGTGCCCCTGCTGTGGTGTGAAGGGTGGGACAGGGAGCTGGGTCATCCAGTGCTCCTCAGGACAAAGGAGAGAGCGCCTGCCTGTGCCGTCCTGTGGGCGAGGATGATGGCAGGACCCCAGAACAGGGAAGCCCCAGCTCGGGGCCAGAGGGCGGGCAGTGGGTGTGCCCAGCCAGATGCCGCGGTCACCCCCAAGCAGATGCTTGTCCTGTTCTCTGCCCCCGCCAGCAACCCCAACCCCCACAGGGTCATGGGCCAGGCCCAAGGCCCCTCTGTCCGCGGCTCTGCATCTCCCACCTATGCTGCCGGCTCAGCAGGGGCAAGGCTGGGTGGGACGCCAGGTGCGGGGGCTGAGACGGGTGGGGGCGGGGCAGGTGCTGCTGCTTGCTGGCCAGCCTGGAGCACCTGGCCAGGCAGCTGTCCTGGGGGCTAGGGAAGGCTGCCAGTCCAGGCAGGCACCCACGTCCAGCGTGCCTCACTTCCCGGCAGCCGGAGCAGGGGTCCTCACCGGGTGCAGATGACCATGCAGGCGATGCCCAGCAGCTGGAGCCGGTAGCGGGGCACCAGCCGCCGCCGCAGGTACCGGTCCACGCACTCCACCGTCAGGTGCAGGCACAGGCTCGTGAAGTCCTTCATGGTGGCCACTTCCACCAGCCAATCGATCAGGATATACCTGCAGGAAGCCGTAGCCTGACCACCAGGGCGAGGCCCAGGCCGCCCCCTCCCGCCGGGGCAGGGGAGCGAGCTAGTGGTCAGCTGTGTGTGGCCCGGCCCGCGAGCAGACCAGGCCCGTGCCTTCTGGCAGGGGCAGGTGGCTGCGGCCACCACCCACAAGACTCAGCGCTTGCTGTCATCTCGTGCGCGGGCGAGGGGCACCCGGCTTGCGCCGCGGGCGAGTCAGGCCCAGGGAAGGGACCAGTGTTCCAAAGGCTCACTGAGCTGTACTTGGAGCACAGCGGGGCCAGTCCGCTGCCTCCCCAGAGCCTGCCCGAGCCCCACTGCGGGGAGTCACTCAGGTTTCTGTGTCACCTCCACACCTCGGAGGAAAAGGGGCCGGCAGAGGAGCTCGGGCTGGGCGGGGCTGCCGGGCATGAGCCCTGGGCCTGGGCAGCTCCAGGGCCAGAAGACGTGAGCGTTTGTTGTGACAAGAAGGTGGTCTCGTGGCCGCGGAAATTGGGGCCAGAAATCCCATGATTTTAGAAAGACGCTTGAAAGGCTTTGCATGTTCTGGCAGGAAATAGAGAGCAGACGCTGGGGCAGGCGGGCAATTTCCAAGCTCTGGCGACTCAGGCCTCATGGGCTTGGAGCACACGCGTGCAGCAGTGGGGCCGGCGGGCGCTCTGGCCCCTGTGGCTCTGCCCCACGCTCACCTCATGGTGTCGTTGAGCCCCTTCTGCACGGAGAAGACCTGCTGCTTGCTGACGGCCCGGGAGGCCTGGAACAGCTGGCAGACGATCTCGCTGACCGCCCTGGCCTCCAGTCCAAGCTGGCTCCCGTGCGCACAGGCTTTGGCTAGAGACAGCTGGGCAGAGACACAGGCCGTGTAAGCACCCGCCTTGATCACTGGCCGGGGCTTTGTCCTTCCTGAATGCATCACGCAGGACGTCCTTGTCAAGGGACAGGAGGCATGTGACGGGCATCAGCTGCCATCACAGCCGGATGCAGCCCCTTGGCCAAGTCAAGTCTCTGCCAACATTTCCTCAAGTTCCCTCTCCCATGGCACGACCAAGTGGGCAAGAGCTGCTGGGAGCCCAGAGGACTGGCTTTCACCCCCCAGCCCAGGGGTGGCCAGTGGTTGGTTTGGGGACTTCTCTGCACATTTCCCTTTCATAATGAGCAGGATAACCCCTCGCTTTGGGACACATAACAGATGTGGGCCCTGATCCACCCCCAAGGTGAGGCGGCGCTGGTGGGCAGGGCAGGGGGCAGGGCAGGCTGTCCTTGGCGCACCCGGAGCCCAGCTCCAGCGAGACCCCGTCTGTGTGGGCAGGCCCCGCGGCCCCTCACCTGTGCCTCCCAACAGCCTCTGGCAGCGTAGTCCCTGAGCTTCCGGAAGCTGTGGAGGCACCGTCCAGGGTCTGTCACCTGCCAACAGAGGAGTCGCGCCTTTACACGGCTGTGTCTTGGGGGAAATGCTGAACCCAGCTAAACCCCCAAGTACCCAGGAGGCCCCGGCTGCGTCTTTCCCAGCCCTTCACCCCCAACAACGTGCTGGGCCAGCTCCTGAGGGCACCGACCCCCCAGGCCCACTCACGTCCGTCGTCCTGTCGCTTTCCCAGAGGAGGTACGAGCTCGCTAGACACCCGTGATTAGCAGACTCTTCGAACAGGTCCCGGGCCTGCCGCTTCCTCTCCTCATCCTAGAAAAGCGCGGCCGTCTGGCCTTGTCTTCTGCTTCCCACTGCCATCCTGGCACCGTGTCCCTCAAGTTGCCCTCATCACTAACACGAGTGCTCGAGGCTAGGGCAGAGGCTTCTCTGGGAGAGAGCACTGGTGGCCGCTGGCCTCTGCCGGCTCTGCACTGCCTCAAGAGGGCTGGGGCTGCCTCAAGCCCTGGCACCCCTGCTGCATGGCCACGTCCTCCCTGGTGCAGGCGAGGAGGCTACGCACAGTGGACACCGCTGTGGCGAGTGGCTCCCGAGCTCACCCAAGCCAGGCACGCACCGAACTACCGTCCAACAGGACAGACTCACCTCAAAGAGACTCAGCACTCGGCCCAGGCAGTGCAGGATGGATGCCCTGTGGGCCTGGGATAGAAGTGAGACATGTGACGTCAGCACAGAGCCCCCACCCACTGGCAGCCCTGACCCCCACCTGCTCCCCTGGCTGCACGGACCCTGCGCCTAACAGTCAGCGTCTCTCAGGGGCCCCTTGCAGGATCCAGCCTGCTTCCAAGGCCCTGCTCCCCCCAGGTGCTGGAGACGCCCTGGTCTGCACCTCAGTTTTCTGTGCCCCCATGGCCCCAGGCCGGCTCGGCCTTACCTGCAGGTTACCTTGCAGCCCCCACCACCTGGACCCCCACACAGCTGTGCGCCCTCGCCGGGCTCACCCTCTGCAGCTGGCACTCCGCCCGCAGGCTCTCATGCACCACGGCCTTGCAGCAGCTCCCAGACACAGACCACGGTGGGCGGATGAACAGCCAGATGAAGGGGGAGGCGCCAGCGCTCAGGCGTTCGGCCAGGCTGAAGAAGCGCGAGGCCTTCAGCCCGTTCACCTCGGCCCGCGCCTCATCGGACACGGAGACTGTGGGACACAAACCAAGGTGGCGCTGCAGCGGGACCATCTGCCTGGCCCTCGCGTGGACCCTGACGCCCGCTGCGGAGCCTGGAGGGGACACGTGTGGTCTCGACCACAGCGCGGTTGGAAGCCGAGACAGGCCCACTCGGGGTGCTAAGCACAGGCAAGAGAGGCCTTGCCAGGACGTCCTGCTCTGACTCGTGTCACTGACCCCCTAGAGTTCCAGAGGCCGGCAGCCAAGCAGAGAAGCCAGCTGTGCCGTCACCCAGGGGTGGAGGCCGGGGAAGAGCAGGCTGGCCCAGGCAGCCCCCAGCCTCTGCACAGCCCCAGCTGGCCGGTCAACACTAAAGGGCGGGTGAAAGGGCCTGTCCCCAGCTCCAGAACCATAGCTCATCAATGGGGCCCTTGGGGGGCAGCTCCAGGCACAGGTTTCTGGGAGGGGTGTTAGGTGATGGTAGATAGCAGCTCAGCGCCAAGGCTGGGGCGCTGCAGCCTCTGACACTGCAGCCTCGGCCCGGCCACCCGCCCGCCAGGACTCACGGCCTTCGTTGTATAGGTAGGCGATGCCCAGCTTCACAGCAGCCTCGAAGTTCCCCTTCTCGGCAGCCCTGCAGCGTTAACACACCAAACACAGCGTGACTTGACTCCACAGATGTGGATCACAGTACGTGAAACAGGGTGATGTGTTTTTGGGACAGATAATCTACCGCACTGTTGACACCAGATGTCAACCTTCCCGGACGGGCCTTGAAATAAAGACCCCAGCCCCAGAGGTCAACAGGTCATAAGCCCCTTCATGCGAGGCTCTGGCCGGGAAGGCAGGAGCAGAGAGCGGGCTGCTGGCATCCAGGCCAGGGCTGCGGGACACTGGGGTGACTGCAAGGGACTCTGGCAGCCTGGAGACGGCTCCCCGCCAGGAACCACCCCTGGCTGACCGCCGCCTGCTAGCAGCGAATCATGCGGCTGGAGCCTGTGACAACCACCAACCCGAGTGGAGCGTGTTTCAGTAGAGACACGTCCACCGCCGGGAAGCCACCCGTGGGGCGCATGGGCGTCGCGCCCTGGTGGCCACTGACTCTGGCTATTCCTAGGTGGACGAGGGCAGCAAGATGCATCGCCTGGAGGCTGCGAGCCTTTCTCAATGTGGTCCCAGGAGGACAGACCCTGTTGAGCCGGCAGCTGCTGAATGAGGGGGCTGCAGCCCTGGCAGGAGTGGGCTCCGCCAGGAGGGAGGTGCAACGGGACTATGCACGGCGTTGACCAAGGAAACCCAAAAAGCAAGGGCTGGGGAGGGCCCACAAAGGTCACCAGTATTAGGGTCACGTGGGGAGCCAGAGCCTCGGGGGCCTCCAGTGGCACCACCCTGAAGACTGAGCGGAGCCGCGTGTCTGGGGTGGGGACTGAGGACAAGGCGCTGGATGCCGTTGTAGCTCATGAGGAGGCGGACAGTCCCCAGGCACTCCCAGGGGATGGGCAGGGGCGACATCAAGAGGAAAATTGATCTTGGGCCCAGCTAGCGCGCAGACTGGCAGGCCAAGCGGCCGCCCCAGGAGCTGGCATACCTTTCAAAGAGCTTGAGGTTCTTTGGAGACGGCCATAGCTCCTGGAAGCTGGCGCACGCCCACACGCTGGCGTGGTTGTCCACCAGGTACTTCAGGTGGGAGTGCACCTGCGGAGCAAACCAGGGTTGTCTCATAGGGCGGCCACAAGGCCCGCTCCTGGGGTCTCGCAGGCACCTCCCTGCCGAAGAGCAAGGCCGCAGGCTCAGTGTCAGAGCAACAGCTGCTTGGATAGAGAAGAAGCCCCAGAAGTCTCTCTGCAACTCTCGGGGACAGTCATACTGGCACAACTCCGAGGCTAACTCCAAGGGGAGAGAGTGGCCTCTCCACTGGGGCCCAGAGGAGGCCGGGCCGGAGTTCGGCAGCCAGGGCCTGGCACACACTGGGAGCCCGCGTCCCAAGGGCTAGAGCTCCCACCTCCCCTGCAGCTTAGCACCTGGGGTGTGTGCTGGTGGCACAGGTGGTGGCCCTGGGAGCCAGGAAATGGGGAGCCATGGAAGGTCACTGCAGCCTGGCTGTGCAGCCCAGGCCCAAGGGAGGCTGCAGCTCTGACCGCCACAGCCCGAGCTGAGCATCACGGGGGACCTGTCCCCAAGAACAGTCTTACTTCCTGTGATACTGTCTCGTTTCCTAACGGGTGGAAGTCCCCCCCTATGGGAGAGTTTTCTCTGTTAAGAGTCCCAAGGCCCAGTGGGCCCCACACAGGGGCTGTCCTGCGAGCCTCTGCCAAGACCCCACCCGCCCCTACCCACCACATCGGTGAGGCTCTGTCCTGAGATTTTGGACATGGAGGTCATGGGCCCCACAGCGCCCGCGGCCACTTACAGCTCGCACGGCCAGGATGTCGCCGACCGAGAGCCACTTCAGCACATGGACGAGCACATCCTCTGGGAGACCCAAGAGGGTGAGGTTCCGGGGCCGCCTTCGCACTCTCCGCCTCGCAGGATAGCAGAAACACTTGGCGCACCTGCAGTGGATCACTGGGGGCACGCCGGGCCGTGAGGAGCGGAAAGGGGCCGGGACCCCAAGTCAGCACTGAAGGCCATGTAGCAGCCCCGCCAGAACCACCCAGCTCCACCCCAAAGACTCAGAGAAGGAGCAGAACCGGGTTACTCAGGGACCGTGCAGGCAGGGAGGCAGGTAACTTGGCTTCTGACCCAGGGCCCAGATGAAAACCAGGAGAGAGAGGCTGGTGAGGGCAGCTGCCCCGGCATCCCCCCAGGAAGCCCTGGCCCCGCTGCTGTCTGCGGCCACCAGCAGCGCCAGGGCCAAGTTAACGCGGCAGGAGCCTCGGTGCGCAGCGGGAGGGGGCCGGAGGCTGCGCTTGGGGGCAGGCAGGAGCGGGCGCCGGGCTGTCAGAGCTGCCCGCGTCCTCTCCCCACGCCCGCCCCCTCCTCCAGCCCGGCCCCTCCGCCCCCGGGAGGCCCAGGTCTCGGCAGGGCCCTCGCCGCGCGCCCCGTCCCTGACCCGCCCTCCCTCCCGCGGACCTGGCCGGGGCGCGGGGGGCCCTCGGCAAGCGGACAGCGCTGCGCTCGCGGGCCCCGACCCCAGCGACCCGGCGGCTCGCCCGAGCTCCCGCGGCCGGGCTCCAGGCCGGGCGCCCAGGCGCGGGCGGCACAGCCCCGAGGCGCGCCCGCCCCGCCGGGCATTTAAACCGCGCGCCGGGCAGCGCGTCCGGGCGAGCCGCACGCCGGGCCGGAGGGCGCGAGCCCGGCCCGCTCTGCCTCCGAAGGCCCCGCGCGCGCCCGCCCGCCCGCCCGCCCGCGCCCGCCCGCGCCCCGCTCACCGCCGCCGCTGCCCATCCCGCCGCCGCTGCCCGTCCCGCCGCCGCCGCTGCCGAAGCGCGAGCGCCCGCCGGCCAGAGCGCGCGCGCCCTCCGCGCAGGCGCAGACCCGCCCCGCCGCCCGCCCGAGTTTTCAAACGCGCCCGGGGCTCCCATTGGCCGGCCCGGGGGGCGCTCGCCGCGGGGCCGCCCCACCCCGCCCCGCCCCGCCCCCGCCCGCGCCGGCCGCCCGCGATTGGCCCCGTCGGGACGCGAATTCGAACGCCGGCGGCTGATTGGCGGAGCCCGCGCGCCGCCCCGCCTCCCGAGCCGGGCCGCCCGGAGCGCTGGGGGCGGGGCCGGGCCGGGGCGGCGCGGCGGGGTCCGGCGGCCGGAGCGCGCGAGGACGGCCCGCGCCGCGCGAGGGCACCCCAGGGGCGGCGTAGGTCCCAGTGCAGAAAGTGGAGGCCTGGCGCCCCAAGTCTGCTCCCGCATCAGCCGGCACGCTGAACCCCTTCCCCAGGCCCTTCCTCGGTCCCTGTCCCCCACCCCTAAGGCACCCCGAAACCTTCAGGGCGCTGGGCTGTGCCTGGCTCCAGCCCTCCGGAGCAGGAGACGCGGGACCCGGGGCTCGCGCCCCAGGGAGGAAGCGGGGACACCCTGAAGGAGGGCTGCTCCCCAGGGGTCCCGCGGCCCCCCTCCCCCGCGCCCCCTGCGCCCCGGGGGCTGGAATTGGCTACTGTTTCCCGCCCTGTTACTTTGTGTCCTCGGGCCGCGGTGTGGGCAGCAGCGGAGTCCTGGGGCGCCCCGGTCCTCCCCGGGGCGGTTATTCCAGGGCGAAGCGGCCCTGCTCACCTGCGTCCCCAGGCGCTGGCCGGGGTCCCCAGGGGAGAGAGGGGCCCCTTGCCCGCCCGGCCCCGCGAGGGGGAAAGGGCTCTGGGAAGGCCTGGACTGGGGGTTCAGGGAGGCTCCCTGCTGGAATAAGATGGCAGTGGGGGGCCTGTGGGTGAAAGGACATTCAAGGGGGGGAGCGTAAGGAAAAGGGGAGTCAAAGGGGAGCCGGCTGGGGGCATCCCTGGGGGATGCCCCCCAGGAAGGCAGAGAAGGGCCCACGGAGGCCAGATGAGGTGGACAGGACACCCACAGCACGGCCCGGGGCAAGGGAGGGGAGATGGGGGGCCGAGGCTCACAGCGCTCTGCCCCCGCCTCACTCCTGAGATTGCTGCTCCTCAGCCCTGGAATTTCAGATTCAATGGTTCTGGGGTGGGGCCCAAGAACCTGCATTTCTAATTGGTTCTGGAGGTGGGATAGAACCTTCCTGAGTAGGTCCTGGCTCTGGCCCGGGACCGCGGAACAACACCCAGGACCCGTGGGAGCAGCAGCCCTGGGGTCAGCTCGCTGCCTGGGGAGGGGCGAACTCCCGTGGGGGGGGCATGCAGCCTTACCCCTAGTGTTTGCAGGGGCCAGGCAGGTGGTGCCCCACAAATCCCGAGGGCTGGCAAACCCCCCTTCCTGCCACACCCCCAGGGACCCCCTCCATGGCACATCTCAGGGAGGTCTGGTGGGGCTCCAGGGAATTCTTTCCACCAGGCCACCCCTATCCCCTGCCCCAGAACTGACCTCCTGGGCCCACAAGCTGCCTCCGGCCCTATAGCCATGGCAGGCGCTGGCATGGTTTACGGAGGATGGGATTTGATTCGGAGGTGGGTGAGTGGGGAGCCAAGCCGCAGGGCACAGGCGCTGTGGCCCCCGGCAGTCGGAAGGCAGTCTGGAAGATGTTCTTGCGGGGGGCCTGGCCGACAGAGTGATCTGCTCCGGGCTGCTCCAGGACCCCAATGCTTGTGGGGCATGGGTGGAGAGGAGGCAGAGGGGGTGAAAGAGGGAAGGCCTCTGGGGTCTTGGCAAAGGCCCACCCCCTCTTGTGCACCCCCAGGGCAGCTCCCCAGCTCTGGTGGGATCCAGCTGTCTGCCCTCAGGGACTGGGCACTAGCTGGGGCCAGAGGGGCTCCCAGGGGGTATGGGGCTTGCTGTGGGCCCTGCGGGTGGCGTGGCCTTGGTGGCCCTGCTCCCCTCTCTGTGGAGTGCAGACACCGTGTGTGCTAGGAACGCTGCGGGGGCATTGCCATGGAGACGCAGGGCGCCTGAGTGCGCTTTTCCCAAAGTCAAGCAGAGCGGCACTCCAGAAGGCAGCTTCAGCAGTGCCCCCCACACCTAGATGCACTCCCCGTGGCCAGCGGAGGCCGTCCAGGCAGGCAGTAGTGCAGCAACCCCTGGCGCTCCCCTTCCAGGACGCTGCCTGCAGAGAGGTGCCCATGGCCATAGGCCCGGGGCTGAGAGAGTGGCCCCTGGGCGGGGACTCCACCCTGCCAGCCCGCATGGGGGCCCTTGTCTGTCTCCAGCAGCCCAGTGCCCCTCCCCACTTGTTCTTCTTGGTCCAGAAAGCACTCCAGGCCCCCAGGAGGCTGCAGGCCTTGGCCTCTGCCCCGCACCATGTCCTGCCCTCCCCTGGCCTGTGAGGCTCCCCCTGCACACAGGCCAGGCCCTAGGAGCCCAGGAGAAGCCTTCTTCCAGGCTCTCTGGGGTGTAAGGGCAAAGGGATGTTTTAGCTGACTTTGTTAAGATTTATTTATTTAAAAAAAAGATTTATTTATTTATACAAGAACTGGGGTATAGGCCAGAGGCGCGGGAGGGTGAGAGGATTCACCAGAGCCAGAGCGGGGAGCAGAGCAGGCAGAAGGACCGAAGGACACTGCTGAGGGGAGCAGCGGGCGGCAGGAGAGGTCTGCCGCGCCCTGTGGGAATCTGCCTGGCCGGTGGGATGGAAATCCCTGCTGCAGAGGCTGGGGATGGCCTCACAGCGCTGCGCTCAACCCGCTATGCCACCAGCGGGGGCCCTTAGCTGACTTTTTAAAAAAACACACACACTTTGCAAATGTTAACTTCCTTAATCCTCCAAGACTTCAAGGAAACAGGAACACTCTGAAGCCAGCAGAAGGAAGCTCCGAGGCCCCTGGGCTCTCCTTGCTCAGTGGGAGGGAGCCCCTCGAATCCCCAGGGCAAGTCCTGGGTCTTGGCCGTGGGGCTCAGCCTCGGCCTTGGAAGCTCCCCGGAGCCAGGGCTGTATCACCGGCCACAGGGCTGAGGAGCATCCCCAGGCTCTCAGAGAGGCCCTAATCTGCAGGTGCCACACTGTGGCAACCCCAGCCCCAGCAGGAAATGACAGGAGGGGCCCCCTGGCGCCCTCTGCTGTCCCTGCCCAGCTCCAGGGGACACTGAGCCGGGTAGCCCAGACCACTGACCCCCCCACAGTGGGCGCAGATCCACAGGTGAGGGTGTGGCACCCAGCCCAGCCCAAACGGGGGTGGGGGGTGTATGTGGTTGCCCCGCCCCAGCACCAGAGAGCCTAGCGCCCTCCTAGAGGCCAAGGCTGGGCCCAGCTCACCTGCAGGTCTGCAGCTGTGGGCCTGCATGTCCAGGGGTGGGTCACCAGGGATCTGGCCCACGGGGGTCCCACAGCTCTGCATCATGACAGGCTCTCCAGGCCCACCGTGCACCCCACAGGGTGTCAACCTGGGAGCACAGCTGCCATAGAGGGGCCGTCCGCCTCCCCCACCTGGGCCTCTGCTCTGGGTACACACACAGAGGCCTCATGCCAGCACATGCAGCCGTCCCATGAAGGGACAGTTTGCTCTGGGGGGCAAACATGGGGCTCCAGCCCTTATCTGGCACCCCTCCTGCTGTCCCCTGGCAGGAAACCTGAGGGCCGCCTCCTGTCACCTCGCGAGTGTATGGTCAAGGGAAGGTCCTCGGGCCTCCCTGGTGTAGCAGAGGTTGAGCGCTGGGTTGCGAAGCTGCCCGCAGCCTCTGCGGCGCCAGTTTGATCCCCGGCTGCTCCCCGGCCACCAGAGGAGGGTCCCACATGGCGCGCAGACCTCTCCTGCCGCCCGCTGCTCCCCTCAGCAGTGTACTTCGGTCCTTCTGCTTGCTCTGCTCCCCGCTCTGGCTCTGGTGAATTCTCTCACCCTCCCGCACTTCCGACTGTACCCAGTGCATGTATAAACAAACAAATAAATCTTAAAAAAAAGAGAGAGAAGGTCCTGACCGTGTCCTTCTTATGAGTGTTTTCTTTTTTTTCCTTTTTTTAAAGATCTATTTATTTATTTATTTATTTATTTATACAAGCACTGGGTACAGTCAGAAGCGTGGGAGGGTGACAGAATCCACCAGAGCCAGAGCGGGGAGCAGAACAGGCAGACTTGACGAAGTACACTGCTGAGGGGAGCAGCAGGCGTGGCAGGAGAGGTCTGCGCGCCATGTGGGACCTTCACTGGCGGCTGGGGATCAAACTGGCGCTGCAGAGGCTGCGGGCAGCTTCGCAGCCCAGCGCTCAACCACTGCGCCACCAGGGAGGCCCTCTTATGAGTGTTTTCAGTGGAGATTCCTTGTAAAATATTCCCACAAAGGAACTGGAATGGGAGGCTGCCCCTGGGGACCCCAGACCTGTGCCACCAGGTGCGCCTCACAGAGGCAGGCCCTCCTGTGCCTGCTGCCTTCTGCACTCACCTTTGTGGCTCACAGCAGGGCCCAAGGACCCTCCTCCATCCAAAGGGTGGGTCTGCTCTGGCTGCACAGCTGCTTCCTGGCTTCTGGGAAGGTGGCTGCCTCAGGTCTGGCTGTTCACCCAAAGTTCTGCCCATGAGGGCCACCTTCAGCTCTTAGCATTGTTACAGGGCAGGTGGAGGGGCACCCCAGTCCCCGCAAACCTGCCTGCTCTGTATAAGTTCTGCCATCTGCAGCATCAATACAGAATATATGAGACTTTAATACAATTAGGAAACAATACAGGTAAGGCAAAGGATATAGTTTCTAAATCAAGCACCCAAAGTGACCCGTCCCCTTGTGAGTAAAAGTCCACCCAAGCAGGACTGGCCCAGAGCAAGCCCGAAAGCTGCCACAAGTCTGAAGCATCTTCCAGTGGGGACCCACAGAAAAGGATCAGAAACAACCAGACAAGCCTGGGAGGAAAAGAGCAAAATCAAAATCAAGACAAAAACCGC